CCACGAACCAGAAAACTTATTATTTGAAGGTAAGCCAATCGCATATTATAGGGTCAATAAAACTACAAAACAATAAAGCAGAGACACGTGGAGGAAAAACCTTTAATTTCAAAGCACACAATTCACTTATGTAGGCTTTCTGAATGAAAAGGAAGAAGCAATGGCAGCGCCGGACGCTGTGCAGAACAGCGATGCGTGGTCACGGCTGCCACGGTCGATGCGCAGAGCGGCGAGATGACGGAGTGAAACTTAGGAATGTACTTAGTAAACCCTAAGTGAATGAACTTAGTGAACCCTAAGTGAATGAACTTAGTGAACCCTAAGTGAATGAACTTAGTGAACCCTAAGTGAATGAACTTGGGACGTCACGGGAGGGCGGTGACGCGAGAACAATAAACCTTGCCCGTTACACCTCGAATCTTTCGGCATATCACACAGCGGCCGTTAGAATTGGAAATCAATCGTTAGTATCATCCTTTCATCTACGGATACATTCAACGTTGTCAATGTTATTGGCCTGGTTACCGAAGTTACCGTCAGGAGACGAAGGGTTAAACTTGAGCCGCGTTTTAGATGCAGTAAGACTTGCCAATATTATTATAACATAAGCACGTAACATAAGTTGAACATAGATTACCTACGCCACAAGCTGACGCTGAACCTGAATTGTCTACGCCACAAATAACAAAATGAAAGACATTGGACGGTGCGTCACAACAATATCTTGAGTCAGATCGTAATTATTTATTTGCCACATACCTACTAATGAACCGAGCGCTATTTAATACCAGCAATGAATACGCTGCAGAATATGACCTTCAAAAGAACCTAGCGGCAGATCTGGTTCACTGCATTAGTCTGCAATAAAGCAATGAAAAAATATGTTTCGTGACGGCAGAAGACTGATAACAAGCGATATCTACGCATCATAAAACTAGGGCAACCAATGTCAATAATCTAGCTCAAAAGAGTGAGTACCAAATGAATTGAATTGGGCAACTGTATCCTGATAAAAATTTCCGAGCTGCATTGTACAGCGTGAATGCGATACAGAACGATAATCTTGTCATCAAATAGACAGCATTGACATCAAATGAGCCATTATTTACATGGGCACATTGTCTACCGATTCCTGAACGGCAGATGACACGGGATCGTTTTGATAAGAAATTATCATATTTTGAGCCACTTGACAACACGTTTGTACCTATGCAATCGAACGTACGTGAGTCTGGAATTATTGTCTAATTAAGGTAATCACAAATTAATTAATTACACCAATATTAAGGACATGTCATTATATAAGAAGAAATTAAATACGCAAGAACCGAGAGAAATATGAAATTCAGGAGCACAAAGCATAATTGCATAGCAAGATTTGGATGGCTAACTCAAAGAAACAAAAGGAAGTCATCACGAAATATCGTTCAAATATCTGCGGCGAAAGTATATTCACCTAATTTCGTTACCGACCCTCAGATACTGCAAACTTTTGATTCAACTAGTTTAGGGCAAAACAAATTATTGATGAAATTATCTCAATCGCATTTAAATCATCACAAGCCTACAGAATTCAGCCGCCACAAACCTACAGTGTTTTACTGCATGGCTCCTATATATAAAAAAGGATTCACATTTTCCTAGAAGGTCCAGCCAGCAGCCCTGCAAGCAAGTGATGACAAGGATTCTATCATCGATTAACAACTCGAAGTTACTTACCTACTCGATAACTGCGAATCCAATCATATTTTCTTCACTAAACCAAGTAAGGAATACTTCAAATATTCACTGGCGAAACATATGATAGTCGCACCCAGCTGGCATCAAATGGCACCTGGTCAAGGTTACCTACTGCACTATCTCAACACAACAGTGTTTGCGTACATGGATAGAGGAAATTATCGCATGGAGTAATTAATATTTAAAGTTCTTTGAGCTACTGAAGAATATGTTTTATTTACCAATCAATGTACCAATGATATTTAAACTCATGACAACATTGATGTATTATAGAGGGCAACATTTATGAATGCACTTGCAAACTTGTAAAAACAACAGCAGCAACAGCCATCATCTTATCAAACAATAGTTTGTCATAACTGTTAACAATACAGAGGACAAGCTATGGCATCAGGCAACGGAAGAGCGACAGCGCAGCTTCCCTTGACCTGGTGACAGAGCGGCGCAAGATTGTGACTACATGATACGGCGCGCAGCGTATACACTGTCTCTTATACACATCTAGATGTGTATAAGAGACAGTCTATTAGTCCTGTACTAACCCTCTATTAGTCCTGTACTCACCCTCTATTTGTCCTGTACTCACCCTCTATTAGTCCTGTACTCACCCTCTATTAGTCCTGTACTCACCCTCTATTAGTCCTGTACTCACCCTCTATTAGTCCTGTACTCACCCTCTATTAGTCCTGTACTCACCCTCTATTAGTCCTGTACTCACCCTCTATTAGTCCTGTACTCACCCTCTATTAGTCCTGTACTCACCCTCTATTAGTCCTGTACTCACCCTCTATTAGTCCTGTACTCACCCTCTATTAGTCCTGTACTCACCCTCTATTAGTCCTGTACTCACCCTCTATTAGTCCTGTACTCACCCTCTATTAGTCCTGTACTCACCCTCTATTAGTCCTGTACTCACCCTCTATTAGTCCTGTACTCACCCTCTATNACACAGCGCCTCTCACTCTGAGGACCACACAGCGCCTCTCACTCTGAGGACAAACAGCGCCTCTCACTCTGAGGACAAACAACGCCTCTCACTCTGAGGACAACACAGCGCCTCTCACTCTGAGGACCACACAGCGCCTCTCACTCTGAGGACAAACAGTGCCTCCTTCACTGAAGATGTAATCCTGTTATGACTTTACGTACAATGTTGTACATTACGTACAATGTTGTTGTACATTACGTACAATGTTGTTGTTGTACATTACGTACAACAACACCAAAGTTACAACTTGAGTGGGTAGTTGGCTATAATGCTTTTCCTGACCATATTAATTCAGTCATATTTAATTATTGATATCAAATGCATGTAATGGCAGAGAACAATGTTAAGAGCACACACTGTCTAGCACAGCTGGAGGCTGCATCGTCTATCAATGGTAATGTTAAGAGCAAAATACTGTAATTTTACTGTCAATTTTAATGTTTATACAGATGCACCTGTACTTTAAAATCAGTGTTCGTAGTTTATATCTCGTTTGTAACGGGTTACAATCGACGATTTAATTAAATTTGTGTGTATTTTGATTTTATAACGTAAAAAACGTTTTTTTATTAAGCGCATGCATAGCAAATATAATTTCTGAGAGGCACTGTAAATAATATGAATTAACAACTAGGTTACGGTATCTTGATTATTATTGTTCTCTGATTCATCACGCTGAGTGTGACTGATTCATCACGCTGAGTGTGACTGATTCATCACGCTGAGTGTGACTGATTCATCACGCTGAGTGTGACTGATTCATCAAGATGAGTGTGACTGATTCATCACGTTGAGTGTGACTGATTCATCAGGATGAGTGTGACTGATTCATCACGCTGAGTGTGACTGATTCATCAGGATGAGTGTGACTGATTCATCACGCTGAAAAGAGTCTTCAGTAATGCTGACTAAGTATTTTTTCTCAAGTGGCCCTACTTGCTTGCTAGAGATGAAGTACGCTTGAGTTGTGGTATCAACCTCTGCAAAAAGTGTACATGCATCTGAATCATCAAATTATACCGTCAATGAAATGAGCAGTCGCCAATGAGCAGTGCAAATACCTCGCCGTTAAAAACCATCTATTATATACCGCCATAATACCGGTCATAACTAGGATTTGTATGGTTCGACAATCACATGATGAATAGGAAGCTGTTTTGACAGCGCTAGCAGTTTTGTTTATAAAATATAGTTTCTATTGAAGGCTGGCGACTTAGGTGCTGTAGCAGCGCTATCGGCAGTGACCGTAGTTACCGATGAGAGATTAGTCGCCATAAAATTTTACGACCTAATTACAATGTTACGGTGTCAGATAACTAAGTCTATACGGCCTGTTATGGTCTGTACATCACACTTTTAATTTCAGCCAAAAAAATATATCTGTTGAAACCTCAGGCAGAAAATAGCAAAATACAGTTATACTCGTAGCTATAAGAAGGCAATGCAACCGATCAGCAACAGCTACTAAAAAACGTATAATCGTGGTAATAGCTACGATTTGAAAGGTTCGATAATAATTATTTGATGACTACATGGTCGTTTTATTCTTTTTAGGAGATATGGTTCTGTTTTAATTTAAAATAGATGGTTTCTATTGCAGGCCGGTGGCGTTATCGCATCGACGGTAGGTTAAGTTCTAAATTGAAGGGCAAAATATTAGTTGGCATCTTCAAACAATAAAAATGGTAAGTGTTGGGAAACACTTAAAAATTTGTGCCTTGGCCAGCCAGTGCATCAGAAAATGCATTCATGATTCGCGGATAAATACCGTATTGAGCTTGAAAAGTTTAATTATTGATTTCGCACAAGTATATAACAATATACATTAGTCTACGGCTTAAACCATAAGTCAGAAACGATCTATTAATATACATGAAAATTTATTACCTCTGAACCACCAATAAATGTAACTCCATTTTCGATCTTGAGTTAGACAATAGACCGTAGTCGTAGACGTACCCGGCAATCCGGCATAGTGACAAGACAAAGCACAGCTTTGTTAGAACTCAGATTTAAAGTTTAAACCAATTTATTATGTATGATAATGCTGGTATCCCTGAGACGTTACTGGTCTACTTATTTTACGGACTCAGAAATGAACTTGAGAAAGGTCTAAAAAAAATCTCTGCTTTGACACAAGGACTGTCGTAGGTACAATTTCAAAGTCACCAAAATTCGGTTTCGGTAACTCTTGGAACAAAGAAAATGGTTTGAAGACAGATTATACCTAACATACCTACATTAAGAAAATTACTTCACTGAGTTCACTCACCAGCATAGAGCGCCAACTCCAGTTATTATGGAATGAAGGAAAGAATTAGCAGCATTTTTCCATTTCCACGCCTGACGGGCGCAGGAAATTTGTGAAGGCTGAAGCAGACGCAACAGTTTACTCGTCATAAAAAAGAATACAGCTCCAAATGCCACACAAAAATACCGGTTAACTTCCATCTTTACAGCGTGACAACAAGTCTTTCATAACATAAACAGCTAAAATAGTAATGTCAATATTAAAATAATTGTATGTGGAATGTAAAACACAGTGCCAAAAAATTGCTAACTGTTAACACCAGTCATCCCCAATCGACGTGACGTGCGCCCGACCCCAACGATAGCTAATGCGACACTGTAGTCACTGCTCACGCGGGTCTGCGACCCGCGTGAGCATAGCTGAGCCCCGGCGGCGGATTTTCTTACACCTTGTGTGAACTTGAAGGTCTCTTCTATCTTACAGGTTTTTACTTATGCTGTGTTTACAGTTGTGTTTAATTAATAAATCTACCAAATTCAGCCGCAAGCGTTTGCTTTTCTTTTGTTTTCTTCAGTGTAATATTAATTCATTTTACCATATACGGACGTTAGATATAGTGCTAATCGTCATCAGCTTTCATGCTTACATGTATTATTATCGGAATTTGTCTTCTCTTGTAAGATTTACTGTGAAAATTCAATAGTAGTGCTCATGGTTGAATTAATTCAACCATGTTAGTGCTCGATGGTTGATATCCTAATTATGGGTGATGCGACCATTATAATAATTTATTTCATTGCCGTAGTTGTTCACGCATTCTAAATCAACATTACCATTTAAGATCTTTATTAAAAATTCTAATAGGGATTGATTCCAGTGAAGAAATGAAATCTATGAAAATTTATCGTTGAGAGATTCCATTCCTTAATTTGCACTACTTTTTCAGTATTCTTGCGCGAACAAATAAGGAAAAGCCAAAATTCAATATAATTGTTGAATACATATATTAATATCCTTTATCATATATATTTATATAAATTTAGCCGTGTGGGTCATGTAATTTGGGTAATTAAGATATTACTCTTATTTAAAAGCCTCACGTTCAAGATTACGTTATATGTTGGGCTTTCATGGTTATGGCTCACTGACGAAAATGTTGGTAGAGGTGTTGTGTATGATGAGAATTTTTGGAAAGTTCACGATAAGTACAGCAAATATTTTGTGGACTGTTTGTCTACTTTAATTGTAAGTATGAACTTTGTAATAAAACTTTTTTACCTAATATTTGCGAGTTATTTGAATTAAAATCGCTAATCTTGCCTGCAATGCTGCACTACGCTACGCTGAACCGTTATATTTCTCTCTAAATTTTGATTGAGACTTGTGAGAATTTGTGCGTGAAAACTATTTGTTGAAATTGTTGTTGAAAAGATTAGAGCAAGACTGCATATTTTCTGCTTCTTTAGGATGTGATTCAAAATTGAAGGTTTGTGATAGTGCTCTCAAAATCGAGGTTAAACTTTCATCAGTCCTGAGTGGCTCAGTCCATCATGTGCAGAACCTACCTAATAGGCTAATGTCAATTTTCTCTGCCAACTGCCAAGTGCTAACTCGATGATTTAAAAAGACAATGGAATTGGCTTTCTGGGGAAAAAGATTATGTTAGTCAGGGACTCAGGGAGATTTTGCATGAGAGAATCAATTGATTAAAATTTTGTTTTAATCTTAATTAGCCAGTTAGGAAACATCACCAAAATATTTTTATCAGCCAAAAAGTATGAGATTACAAACTTGGCATAAGTCAATAATACTACTCTTGCACTTGAGATTTGAAAAAAAAAAAATAGAAATTTTGACATACAATTATGTTCAATCCAAGCATGAGTGCATGACTGATGTTGTCAAAGTAGAAAATTGGGAAGAAGCCACTCATGAATTGTGAAAAAATTGCTATACATTTGGCCAATTTTGCCTGTTTTTAGACAGTGTAGCCTATATATTGTATAGGCTAGTCACTTTTTCTCAATTTATTCAGTAAAAATAAGAAAAAATGTCAAATCTTCAACTGCAACTTTCAAAAAGCATCCTTGAAATGATTGCTTTTATCTGTGATTTTATGAAACTTCTTCCTGGTAGGGTAAACGCGGTATATTCCGACACATTAAGGACGCATCGAGAAATGAAAAACTATAAAAAAAAACGTATGCGTTACGTAAGTTCTGTTGCCTTCACGTGACTCTCAAAACACTTCACTACGCGTCAGCAACGATGAAACGTCACAAAATGTTGCCATATTTATTAAAAAGCCTTNATTGTGCTTAAGGATTGGGTTTGCCAACACTTGGATTATAATATTATCAACTATTTTTCATCTTAGTATGAGTAAACGAATCACTTTTTTTGTTCAATTTAGCCCCATTTTCTTCTTCTTCATTAATCATCTCATGCTTCTCTGGAATTGTAAGTAATCGATATATTTTTTTATATTAATTAAACCTGTCTCTTATACACATCTAGATGTGTATAAGAGACAGGTTCAGGACAGTAGCTACATATTAGATAACTTGCATCTTGTGCTATAAAAAAATGAATATTTTTTTATCAGTTATGTGTCTCTAGTTTCTACAATGTGTGAAATACTACCACAAGGAAGGCAAGGCATCACTTGCATAGACTCAAAAGTTCTGGTGGTTAGTGGTTGTCTAAGCCTGAGTAGGTGTGGAAAATGGTGTTTTTAAGCTATGACTAGAGCAAGCTTTTGTGCCAAATTTGTTTCTGTGAGCTTTCTGCTCCCTGAATTATAAATATCTCTTATGAACCCATCTAATTGTTAATAAAATTTTGTGATTGTGTCCTTAGATTTCAAATTTATTTAAAATATTTTACTCATTATATATTTTACTTGAAAGCTGCTCCTGGCTGGGATAAATCCAAACTATATTGTTGAGATTATAAATACATGAATAACCTGCCAAGTCTATGCTTATAATCCTGTCATCTAGGAGAAACTGATGGGAAAATGGTGGTCTAGGACTCTAGGTCTCTAATTATTTTTTTTTTCTGGCTAAGAAAGCAAAACCTTTGAGATTTCGGCTTTTCCGGTTTTTAGTCTCATCTTGAAGCTGACATTCTGACCTATCTGACGGTGCCAAAACCATCTCTGTACGTTGATTTATGCGTTCACGACAGATCATGAAAGGGAGGGGAGTGGGGAGTTCTTTAACAAATAGAATAGGAGGCAATTAGCTGCCGAGCACTTTAAATAGAGTGTCTGCTTCAGCTGCAGCTCAGTTACCTGCCTGGCATCATATGAGGAGGTGTGCATGCAGTCGTTCCCACCATCCTTGACTGGAATCAAGCTGCAGGAACGTTTAGTTTTGTATCCTTGCTACATTGAGTGCCTATTGCGATGCGTGCGGTACTTTGTCACGCTCTCCTGAACATTCACACTTATTGTCATGGCAAACCTATCTCATGCTAGAGTTTTGAAGCTACAGCAATGAGACGTCTACCATTCGATTCCTAAATAAAAAATCTCTAGAAACCATCCAGTCATATTTTTTTTTCATTATAGTTTGGATTCCATTTTGCAAAAAGAGGGGGGGTTGGAGGGGGGAAATTTGAAATTTCTGGAAAATCCCCCCCTCCTCCCAAACAAATTTGAAATTAAAAAAAAAATGATTGGATTGATTTTAGATATGATCACTACAAATCAAATTATACATGTCTCGATGTTGTAGCATGATATTTGTAGGATTAGATTAATTTTTAAAGTACCCCCCTTTTTTGCTGTATTCTATGAATTTCACGTTGTCTTTTTTTTTTAAATTGACAGGAACATAAAGTTCTTAGATTTCTGTTTTACATATGTGTACCAAGTTTCAAAGCAATCTGTTCGTAAATGAAAAAGTTTTCAAAAGAGGGAGACGGTCTCCTTACGGACAACTCTAAGCTGTCTTTTCCCTGCTACTGACCACCTGTGAGGGCTGATAACGTGTGGAAAAAAGATGAAACGTGTAATTTACAGTTTTGTCAAAGATTTTGAGTTATTGTTCTGCAGAGGTCTCATACTTGTATTAGCATATTGGCCGCAATGGAATATAATGGCCAGTCAATGGGCCAAACTATTAAATTTTATGCTTTTTAATAAATGTGTTTAAAAATTTATGAACACTATTGTCATTGCAGTTGAATACTAAAATAAAATTTTATAATTATTAATTAGATTTAGTGTCATTTATTTTTTGCACTGGCTGTTCATTTTATTATTTTAGTTTTTCAGGCACTATGGTTCAACCATTGTGCTCCTTAGAAAAGAGAAATAAACCATGTTTTCATCTGCAGTGAGCCAAGATTGCCTAATCTTGCTAGCATAGCTTTCCTTCACAGAATCTCTGCTGGCTTTGTTGATGCATGAAAAAAAGTTTCTTTGTTTACTGAAAAATACTATCAGGTGATGGACTCTTTCCTAACACAGTTTGCCAGACAGTCCAGCATAATGTTCTTGATGCAATATTTCATAATTTCTACATATGTTGTATTCCTTGGGCACAGAGATGCTTGGCAAGCAAATCATACAGCTGAGTGTCTCACCCACTTGTTTGATAAAATATAAATTTTCCCAATTCTCCTGGAACACACTTTTTTCATTCACTATTTTTTTATTTTAGAACAACAATGTAATTTTTAAGGCTACTACGGTACCGTACAGTGTAAAGTTAAGTAAACAAAGAACTCTCCTATGCAGCTGATAAACGTCATAACAAACTGGAAAAGGAATATTATATGTATCTTTGATCACCAAGTAGTCATGTAGATCAAGGGTCTCCAAATTACAGCTCATGGGCCAGATCAGGCCTGTTGCTAGGTTCCATCCAGCCCACCAAGGATATCTTGTAGTTCAACATGATGTGTACAAAAATTGAGTGTTAGGTTTATTTGTGGTTATGCCTGAACTAAAAACAGTACATGAGCATGACCAGCCCGTGAAGATTTCAGAAAGCTTGCTCTTGGCACTGAGGATGTGGCCATGGGCCACACAAAATAGTTTCCTGGACCCCATTTAGCCCATAGGCTGCATGTTTGAGACCCCTGTGAATATACTTGTATCTTTTGTGCAAATTTGCAGACTTTATTAAATATTTGAAGTAGTCAATGGGATCAACTGTAAGGTGCTTTTTCAATGTTAAAGGCAGGAAATTTGATTCTTCCTTTAACACATATGATATGAATTATTGCTAAAAAGTGTACATCACGTCCATGCTTTCTGTCTTTGGCTACAATACCATGCCCCTACCAATAAGCAATCATTGCTCCAGACTCTAGAACGTTAGGCTAGATATGCATAGAACTGTCCTTCCAACAATTACATACAGAACATTCCTCTCGACAATGCTTGAGAATTAAACTAAGAGCATTTGAAGTTTAAAGAGGAGAGGTTGTGCAGGCAATATAATTAATGTCTTCAATTATCTNTTAGACCGGGTGGTGTCTTCAATTATTTTTTTTTTTTTTTTTTTTGTCTGAGAGTCATTTTTCTAGAGAAATGCATTTGGGACTAAATTAGGGTTAGTACTGATAGCTCTAAGAAAGGGCCTGCATGTCACTTCTGTAGTCCATAAATGAATTAATGATAAAAAAACAACATTTCAGACTGGCGCAAGTCTTCTCCTGAGACATGGCTGGGAGATTCTCCCGCACCTACTCGCGTAAGCGTCCTCAACCTGCTCCTCCCATCAGTCAGTTTGATGCTCTAGTGAAGGATGGTTCAAGTGTTGCTAGCAATCAACCGGCTGCCACTAAAACTGCTGGTCATATTGGCAAATGGGGAATCACTTCATTCACATCACTTAGAGCCATAAATGGAGGTGAGGTCATAATAAGAATTAAGTCTTAACATCATGTTAAAGCTTTTTTATTAAATTTTATACTTGACTTGTTGAACCTTTTTTTATTTTATGTTCTTGTGACTGCATATATTTCAGTGGAAAGTGAAATAGTTCATCATTAATCCTCTCTTTACCTCCATTTACTATCATGTATCAATTACTTTTTTCAAACTCATTGTGATGTTCCCTTATTTCATTTAATATGCTGGTCTTAACCACAGGAAATGAAGATTCTTCTAAAAAGCAGCAGCTTCCGGGAAGTGATTCTCCAAACTACTTGCAACAAAACCTACCTGAAGGGATGCCATCAGTCTTAAACCACTGTGAAGCTGGAATGTCCCATGTAGTCAAGCCAGTTATCACTTACAAAAGACGCAAATTTTTCAAAAGCAGAGGTGCCACAGAGGAAGTTTCTGCAGCTCCACCTGTAGATTCTGGTACAACACTTCCAACGACCAATTTTGTGAATACCAGTGGTTGTCAATTCAACAAGAATGCCAATAGCAGAAGCCAGGCAGAATCTACGAACGATTTTGATGCTTTGTTATCAAGCTCTCGGGGTGTTTCATCCAGCAGTACACATTCAATTGATTATAATCGTTCAAACAGCTATTCTGCTACTACCAATGCAGCTGCAGATTTACTAGTTCAGCATGCAAATGTTCCTCAAGCACGGCCATCCACCACTTTGGAAAATAAATCAGGCAACAGTGGCATAAGACTAAAAATTTTCAAAAGTCGGAATACCAAGTCAACATGGTCAGAAGGACAATACTCAAGCAAAGTTGAGCTACCCAGTGATGATTCAAGGGGTACAAGTATATCCAGCAGTGGTGCTAGTTCTCCAGAATCATTTGAAGTTAAAGATGAGGAAAAGGATAATGTGCGTGACACATTTGGGCACATTACACCTGCTCCTGCTAAAGTGCAAGAAATGACGGGGAAGCCTCGTTTCTCAGTTTTATCTCATATTGATCAACCCCAATCTTCCATAGATTCCATATTCCCCATCCCCAAGTCTCCTGCTAGAGATAATTCTTCTATCTGTTTAAACACTCTAACAAATTCAGCTAACATTAACATTTCTTTAGACTCTAGTGCAGAATTTGGTGAGATTATTGATCAAAGTACTGGTTTACCTAGTTCTTTGTATGGCACCAAAGATTCTTGCTCTGATGATATGGCATCTTATGCCTCTTCTAGCATAGAAAATTCATCAAATGATGCACTATCTTCAAGAAAAAGCTACTCAAGAAAATTGTCCTCTTCAATTCCTAGCGAGGATGAAACCATCAAAAAGGTTTCTATGTTATCTGACCAAGACGATCTTAATAGTGAAAGATCTTCTTTGTCTGACACAGCTGTAGAAAATGACCATAGTACAAACTGTTCTAGTTCAAGTTCCTCTATTATATCATCTTTAGAAAGAAGTAACAATTATAGTAGAAATGGTACCAAAAGTTATGGAAACAAATTGAAACCTAAACAAAATACTTGTAGCAGAAGACGCCCTTTAGAAAACGACTTCCCCAATGAAAAACTCCCTCTAGATGTTAGAAACGTTAGCAGTGACAGGGCTATCTTGAAACCAATCACTGAAGAGAAATATGCATCCAGTAACAATTCTGTTTTGAACGATGCTGCTAATGTTGAGTCTTCAATCAACAGTTTACCTTCAAGAGTTACCACCAAGCACGAGCTATTTTCTGATGACTTTAATGAAGACGAGATAATTGACAGAACTCAGCTTGTTAACAGTCCTGTGCTCGATTCTGCAATTGAAAGCAATGGACTATTTGTGTCTAATTTTAATGATAAGACTCCTCAGGAAGTGGAATCGTCAATAATAGCCTCTAATGCTTCATCAAATATTAGTTCTTATTCTGGGAGTTTGAATTCTATTGGCAAAGCAGCTTCAATGCCTGCTAGAGTTGGACATCTGAGGTCAACTTCTAGCGGACTATTCAAAGACAAAGACGCTCCCAGTACTGCTAGTGAAATGAAGCTCCCTTTGAGCCTGCCAAAGAAGAGGAGCATATTCAAGAGCAGGGTGGTGCAAGAAGATAGCTGCAAGAAACGTGCAACGTACAACCACAAGTGGCACAGCTCAACAGATGAGAAAGAAGTCGATGAAATTCTCTCCAAAAAGGCATCAAGCTCTCAGTCTAGCGGCGCTTCTACAGACAAATCGCCCTCATTGTTTGATGATTTTGATTTTGATGGCAGTTCTGTTTCATCACTCAGAAGGGTTCAGTCGTGGTCAGCCCAGCCCTCCAATTCTGTTCTTCCCAGCTTAGACTCGACTTCTGAGCCTGGCTCTCAAGTAACGAGCGTCAAGTGCCACAAATCTGCAAAAGAGGTTTGATTATTATTGATTATTAGCATCTCTGCGCCTTCAGGAATGTGACAAGGATGCTTGTCATTAACATTTTTTTTTAATTATTCATATTGCTAAAAACTCATAGCAGTATTGTAAAGTGTGAGTTTTTTTATAGCGTTTTATGATCAATATGAATTTTTGTTTCTTATTGTAATTAATTATTCACAGTACTACACTGTCGTCAAGAACGTGAAGAAGCTGCACCAGCTGCAAGAGTCGGGCGAGTTTCAGGAGTTTAATGACGATGTTGAGTATTTCTTGGACGCACTCCGAAGCAGCAACTCGGCATCCACTCGCTGCCTTGCTGCTCTGAACCTGGCGCAGAAATGCATGGTGCCTGCCTTCAGGATGCATCTCAGAGCTCATGCCACCGTATGCAAGTTTTTCAGGGCTCTACAGGACGCTCATGAACACCCGGTGAGATATTGATCATATTTGCTGAACCTACAGCATAACCTACTTACATTGCCAAGATATTCCATGTTTGATTCAATTGTCAGTCAGCTCTGAAGAAAATATGCGTGTAACTGCGTATATTGACCACTATGTAATAAATGTTTTGCTGAAGTATCTTATTTCAGGTACTACATAATTGCTATGAAAGTTTACATTTAATTTGAATTTTTTATTCTACATATGTGTACATTTATTTCTTATATATGTATATATGTATCTTTTATATGTATATGTATTTCTTATGTACATTTATTTCTTAAAGACACCAGATTTAATTGTACTATTTTTCTTGCATTTAAAAGATATAATTTTAATCACTCGCTTCTACTTCTGTGCATGTTCATATAGTAAAGTAACGATGGTTATTTGTACTTACAATGCAGGAAGTGTTCATACTCTGAAGATGCAGCTATTTCATCATATAATATGGCTTTTATCCATTAAAAACATTGAAAATTGTTTGTAAGGGTCGTATCTAACTATTGACGACTTCATTGCAATCATATCAACTAGTAAGCATCAAATTCCTAGTTACTGGCTTCTAATGATTTACTCCCGAGAATTAGTTAATGGTGAAATAATATGCGTTTAAAAATTATTTTTAAAGACAACACTTCTGAACAATCCAGTGTCTTTGATGTTACGCATTTACAATTAATTTCTAATTTTATTTTCATATATCGAAAAAAAAATTATTTTTTTTTTATTTTTTTATGATATCAAAGTTTTGTAAATTTTCAAAATTATTTATTCTGTCAATTGATTCATGCATTGTCTCTTACTTTATGCAATTGTGCAAAATTTCAGATCAAATGGACTGGTCAAATTGTGTCATATATGGATTCTAAGATTTGTAGCAGACGAGAATATTTTTTAATTTTTTTTAAATGAAAAAAAAATTTAATTTTTAAAATTATTTATTTTGTAAATTGATTCATGCATTGTCTCCAACTTTAGCAATCATATCAACTAGTAAGCATCAAATTCCTAGTTACTGGCTTCTAATGATTCACTCGCGAGAATTAGTTAATGGTGTAATATGCCATTGTTTACTCATTACATGATGTCAACAGGCTCTGTCACTGTGTTCGGCGATGGTGATGTTTGCACTGAGCCAAGATCGCCTCAACATGGACCTGGACCGGGACTCCCTGGAGCTGATGCTGAACTTGCTTGACAGCGACGGTGGGGACGAAAGATCCTCGTCAGGCGCTTCAGGAGGTTCGGCCAATGGCAGCAGCCAGGCCGTGAACGAAGCCATGACCAAAATACGAGATTTGTGTGAACAGCTGCAGAAGAAGGGTCACGCCAAACACCTCGACCTCGACAATCTCGACGTGAGTTTTATAACAAGTCCTCTCAACAGGTTGTTTTCCTTGTAATCAATTAACTTATAGGCGTGTGAGCTCCTGCTTTCTAGTGGAAAATATATAAAGAGTATAATTGTGCTTAAGGATTGGGTTTGCCAACACTTGGATTATAATATTATCAACTATTTTTCATCTTAGTATGAGTAAACTAATCACTTTTTTCATTCAATTTAGCTCCATTTTTTTGCTTCTTCATTAATAATCTCTTGCTTCTCTGGCATTGTAAGTAATCGATATAGTATTTTTTATATTAATTGAACACTTCTCCTAGCTGTCAGACATGCACCAAAGCTTGGAGACGTTTTCGATATATATGCATTTTCTCCCTTCTACATTTCGCATTTCTTGCTGAATGTCAGTACTCTCTGTTGGATATCAATTATCTTCTTGTAATTTATCAATGAATTTCTCGATTTTCAGACAGGCACCTTGGCCATGGAAACCCTGCTGAGCCTGACGTCGAAGCGAGCGGGCGAGTGGTTCAAGGAGGAGCTGCGTGAGCTAGGAGGCGTCGACCATCTTGTCCGCACCGTCACGTCCTCCGTCAGACGGCTCGTCTCCTCCAAAGTTCTGCTTGGACTAAACTCCTGGGACTCTAACATGGCTGAGACTTTTTCAAAGATTGAGAGATGTTTGAAGGTCCTCGAAAATGTAAGTAAATTAATGCTTATAATTCTTTCATTCGTGATGTGTGGAGTTATGTTTATCCGTCAGATGAATTCATTCGCAATGTTTTAAATTCCATGTCTGTTTACTGAGTATCACTTGTGAGCTGGTATGGTGAGTCTACTGAGTATAACCTATTTTTCATTTTGATGAAAAAAATTGGTAATTAGATCTGAATATTTCAGGTGACGCACCAAAACGAGTCGAACCAAGACTACCTCATGCAGTACCAGTCAGGGGTATTTTCCACGACACTAATGGATCTCTTCAGGCTGTGTCACGAGCAAATACCCGTGGCAGCTGCTGCGTCTGCTCACAGTGAAGCTGCTGTAGCGGCAGCCAACTCTGTTGCCGAGCCAATTTGCGTGACGGTCTCGGGGCAGAAGCGGCATGCCATCGCCACCAGCACTCCTAAGAAAAGGGATCAGGTGGTGTCAGCTCTTCAAGGCATTTCCAGCGCTTTAATTACCTCTATGAAGGTCTTAGTCAACCTGACTCATAACTCAAGGAAATTGGGACTTGGCAGCAAGACTTTTGGCTCCCAGCCTGCAACCTATGACATCACACTCAGGTGCGACATACTCAGTCAATAGAAAAATAAGAGAATTTGATAAGGGAGCTTTTTAAATCTCGGTTCGACTATGTATATTCATCGCATGGTTGGTAAACATTGGCCATAATCATTAGTTATTTAGTCAAACCCTTATGTCTTGATCATCCTGAATTGTTCATTGATACATTGCAATCACAAATGTATTTATGCTAGCATCTCATGTGATATTACCTGCGCAGCTGCTTGCTCCAGCTGCCGCAGTATCTGGCGGTTGACACCAAGTTTGAGGTGATGGTGCTGTCGTGTTGTCTGCTGCTCAACCTGGTGGAGCACAGCCCAGAAAATCGCATCGCCCTCATGCAAGCCTCCGAGCCTGCTCAGCTCAAGCCTCCTCAAGACAACGAAAAAATATTCAGTGGTAAAGCTGCCTTCCAATTTCATGGCTGCATTTACCTTCTTGATGCTAGGCGTGATTAAATTTATGTTGAATTTAGATTTGTTTTTGCTGCTTCGAATTCTCGAGTATTGCTTATTGGCTACAAAAATTTGTTTCCTTGTGCTGGGCACTTGATCTCACTTTTTTCATCTTTACATAGAATGTTTACTTGAATTCCGTGGTCAGGTATGTTTTTTAGAAGAAATTTGCTGTCTACTTTTACTGCTCTTGAGTCCCACTGATTATGTTTTGGAGAGGACACCTTATTGAATCAATTACGGTGCTTGTTTTAGCTCTCATTTATTAGCTTGAAAAAAAATTGTGCTTGGTTGATTAATGGCTATTATTAGGGTCTCTGCCAATTATTGACCACGTGTTTTCTCTTGCTATTTTCCAGTTCCGTCCACAAGAAACAAACATTCTCAGCAGAACCAAGGTGCAATGAAAGCACTGGTGCAGATTTTCTTCTCGTGTGAAGCTAGTGCCAAAGAGCACGAAGCGCACACGGATCAAATAATCGACAGAGATTTAGACCAGAGCCAACGTAAGAAGGAAGACTCCAAAGAGGACGAGCTTGAGGAAACTGTGGCTAAATGTAAGCATTATATTTCCTCTAGCGCAACAATCTTCACGAATGAGGCATAATAGACTACATTTATTGTAGTTGTAATTGGTTTTGTTTTATTAATGTTTTAACCATGAAGAAAAATAAGATTTTGTTTTTTATCTAAAAAGTAATATTCCGTTTTACTCTTGATTCAGAATAAAAGTGTGCTAGTCAATTATTTCCTAAGTAGCTAAATGGTGAATTTGGTTGAGTTTTATTTGAATCGGTGCATGAAAATTATTTACAGATATTGAGCTATGATAGCTTCATTTACAGTTCTTGCGGTCTTGAGTTAAGTTTTTTTTAACTGATGTGAGAATTTACTGAGTAAAATTTACTCTCGCTACGGTATCGTCCATCCTTCTGCACATTAGAGCTCATCACTTTCGTCCCTAACTCTAAACGGGCTTGCCATTACTTAGAGTGTGCTCACTCAACAATAGGTCTACTTGCCAACTCTCTTCGATGAGGTTACCCTCATGTTCCCAGCTACCATAACTTCTTGTTCAATGAACGGACTTTATGGCTTTCTTTGATTCATTTATATTTTCGACTAATCCTAGACTTTTATATGTGACCATATCACGTTTTGTACAATTTCTCAATAATGTGATCGTTGGTTATTAAAAATCGTGCAGTGCTGCAGAAGGCTGGTCGTCACATGGAGGACACTCTGATTGCTGCGTATACTGCCCTCCTCACGGGCTATTGTATCATGGATGATAAAGTGAGTATAAGTTATTATTGTAACGATAATGGTAGGGCAACACCTTTTTCAGACTCTTATTTTTGAGTCCTATGAGTAAGACAAGTAAAGTACCTATCAGGGATAATAGCATTATCATAATCAGATATTGAATAAAATTTAGAACTGGGTCAGGGAATTAAGAATGAACTGGTTCCTGGAAAATCTCTCGTTTGCCACTAACAATATTATTGCTCATCACAAATAAACTGCACAAATCTGCATCATAGTGGTCATTGGGGACACTGGGATCAGCGTCCCCAATGGGGGGTATCCCATTCCCCTTATCACAGGGACACTGGGAATGTCTGGATTGATAATTGTTTTTCATTTCAAACTTTATTTTGCGACAAGACCGTCGGAGTAAAGCTTTTTAATAAGAATTTCAGAATCTTAAACTTGTTCAATTAAGATTTGCTAGATGACCAAAGCTGGGCATCAAGAGCAAGAGTTTTCAGACATTTGTTGAATTTCAGCGTTTAAGCCGGACCAATTTAAGGTGCAGATTTTGCATGATATGATAGATATGAGTTGAGACTCTAAACTAAATTATTGTTTAGTAATTATAAAAAAGTTGAAATTTAATTATGATCTTGACTCTCTTCTAGGATTGCGAAGCTGCTGTGAGAAAGATGCTGCCTGAAGGCCACTTCCGTACCATGGTTGCGGTGCTTAAGAAATTCCTACACTTCATGAACCTCACTGCAACCGTGAGTATTTACTGTTGGTCTGTGGTCATAAGATTTGCTTTGTTAGAGTTAATATCCGCTTATTTGTATTCTCTTCTTTTCCACAACGTCGGCCAACTTTATTTAATATCAATTGGCACCTATTATCAATAGGAGCGTTAGTTTATACGTATTAAAAAGGCTGGGTTCCTTTGAAACCCTGGGAAAATTCAGTCTCTTGCATTTTCAAGTTTTTCATGGAGATTGCAAAAATCATACACAGTACTTAGACAAAGTGAATACTTTCCAGGCGTGACATCTTGCGAAAAGGCTTTCAATCTAGACTTAGTTTTAGTTTGAGATCCAGCCACTACGGTACTTCAGATACATTCTTCCATTAACATACAATTTAAAATTTGTATTATTCTAGTGTTACTGTGTTACCATGTCTGATGTTAGAGTAACAGCACGCAGTCAGTGATGCTGTGTATAACAATAAAAGGCGAAATGAACTATTGAACCTAATGCCTATACTTGCGAAAATAGATCAATTTTTAATATTATCACCACTACTGTATTAGCTTACTCGACAATAAATGGGTGCCTATTGAGAGGAAATTTCTAAACTGTTAACTCACAAGTTCCATTTGAATTGCAATCAGTTTAACTAGTTTGGCAAATAATAGCTCGTATCTATTTCCTGATACACGGTCACCATTTGTTGGGACTCCCTTTAACGGGTTTGTCAAACCAAAGCCAATATCTATGTAACGATACATCGCTGCCATTTGATGGTCCTCCCTCTAAGTTGTTTGATAAATATTAGCCCGTATGTATTTAGTTTGATTAGCATATATCTATTAACCGACACATCATTACCATTTGCTGGAACTGCCTACAGACAAGCCTGCTGCGGTCACTGGCGCCCACGCAGAAAGTTGTGCGCTACATGGAGAAGCTGGACCCGCCTCTGAAGCCCTCGACGTCCGTAGCTGAGCGCGAACGCCTCGAGCAGGAAAAGAGGGACAGGGGCGAGGACACTGATGATGAAGACCTTGATTGTTCAGATGATCAACCTCCATCAGATTCCTTAGTAGATGCCTTTGGATTTTAAACATGTGATTCCGATGATATGGAGGGCGCTGATGATAGAGACCTTGATTGTTGAGATGATCAACCTCCATCTGATTCTTTAGTAGATGCCTTCGGATTTTAAACATGTGATTAGGAGGACACTGATGATGTGGAAGACACCGGCGCGACGATACTGATGATAGAGATCTTGATTGTTCAGATGATCAACTTCTACCATTGGGAAAAGTTTTGGTTTCTGCAAACGAATTCTACCACCTAAGTTTCTCAGAATTTTTGGGAACGTTTTTTTTTAATATTTCACATTTTCCTTTATAATTCAGTGAGTACGTGGTATCTCTTATCATATCACTTACTTAGACTTTTGCGATAGATCTTTCTTTTTGCCTGTGTTAAAGGTGATGATTTCCTTTTTGAGTCTGCATGGGTATATATATTTATGAACTAATTATTTGTGTTCTCAGTCTAGTTTTCTCTTCATTGTTTGTGCTTTAAGTTATTTTGTTACTGTTAACAGCACCTAAACTAGTTGTACATACACGGAATGGTTTTTAGATTGACTGCAGAATAATATTAAGAAATAAAAATGCTTGATTACTTATATTTCTTCAAAATTCAACAATTGTTTTCAAATTCTGGCATGAATGATTCAAATGTTGATGTTAAAGGCGAATGGCTATATTTGTTTGCATTAAAATGATCTAGGATTGGATCAATTGGGTTTATCAATTTGCCTTAGCTGTAATCGCTTATAGATGCTAAATTCTGTGATGACGTTCGTCGATATTTAATGTGCTGGGGGATTTTTTTTTTCATTTGGTACTACTTTACCTTCACTGAGGCGATTATGTTCAAGCGAATTGATTGGGTAAGGATTGTTTTTTTCTGGTGCTCATTTCTTTATTGTGCATATTAGAATGCGCAGTGCTGTACGTTGTTCTGTGTATAGAGCACCGCTCTCACTGAATTTACGAGCTCTTTTCTTTTAAACTTTTCATGCCGTACGACTCGTCACTGTGGTCTCACAATTTAATTTACTGAATAATTAAGGGCTTGTTTTGATAATTGTACTTATTTGACTCGGGAGTATAAAATTCAATGTAATGTGAGGAACTTCCGCTATGACAAGGTACAAATTAAGTGTTTTGTGAAAGTAAAACAGACGTCAATATTTTCCACCCTCTGGTTAGTGTTGTCCGGAGTTTTCTACATGGAATGTATTCAAATTTCAGCGATGACTGTAAATAGTTGTTTGCTTAGAGGAATCGTACAAATTTTCTTAGCACCTCCAATTTATAATGTAAATAAGCATAACCGTTATTGTTATGTTAGAGCGTAGAATAGTGTAGGTCTAGCTCCAAAATATCTATTTGGAGTGCCAGCCCAAGCTCCTGAATAGCTCCTCTGCGTGACCAAGTCACGACGATCTCTTATTTTTCGCTTTATTTATTTGATGGGACTTTCAGTACCACAACTGGAATGCTTTTCCCATGAGCTGAGTGGCCGGCATGCGTTTTCTTGCGTTGATGTTAACGAGTTGTACAGCACTTGATCAGGGTTACAGTTCTGACTTTAATATATATGAAACTTTCTTATTCTTTTAGACATTAGTCGAGTCGAGTAATGTTTTTTTTCAAATAGTTTACTGCTAGAAGCTTCACATGAGCCTCCTGATCAATATACATAAAAATGTTCTAACTTTTTTTTGCTTTTATGAATGCTTATCGATTGAAACTTAAATTCCTTCCGCTAATGTTTGCGTAATTATGTTATGTGTGCGTTTTTTCAAACTGCACATTTATTCAGTATAAATCTTATTTCTCTTCTGGGTGTGATAAATTTGCTTATCACAATCTTGAGGTAGAATTTCATATTCCTGGAGTGGCTGTGGCGGAAGGTAACATTATTGATAGGGCGCAGGTACGCGTACATCAACTAATGCTATGAATAAACTATTAATACATAAATATTTTTAATGCGTAAATTTTTAAAGATGATTGACAGGTAGAGTTACAATGTCACAGTAATTTACCGATAATTAGCCCTTAATTCTGGATATTATACTTCAAATCCATAGTTGTTTCCAATGAAACGCGTGTGCCTGCGAAGTAGGAAAATCAACTATGCAACATAAAATAACTTTCTTGAAGACCTTTAAATGTAAGAGCGCAGAGATCGTAGATCTTGATTCCGACGCTCGTGCAAATCAGCGTCTCATAAAATAAAATTTCAGCAATAACATAAGGAGAGAAAATGTATCGAAATTTTCATTTTTTTACTGAATTATTTTTATTTAATTGCCCACAACTGATCGCGGTGAGAATAAAAGCTTGCGGCGCAAGCAGACGATGACGATCGAGAAAGACGCTCCACAGACCGGAACCTCTTAAAGAAAAAATGTGCACATGTAATAACCATTTGAGAGATCCCCGTTCTGCTCCGACAACTTCATCGAACGGTAGAAGAAATTTTATTTCTCGTGAGGAATGAGTGATAGTTTATACAGAAAAGTCGGTAAAACTTGAGATGAGGGATACATGAACAAATTTAAATCATTACAAACTTAGCCTTGCTACGATTTCATCTGACTTCATGTAACCAGTATGACATATTTTTCCACTTCCCAAATTTTCCAATACAAAAAAATCATATTCCAGTCAAAGTTTCATCTGCACCAGGTTAACTTGGTAAAGCACAGCTGTGTGAGGTCAAGTCATAATAGCTGGAGCCACAGGTCGAGTCAGAGGGTGTCTACTTTCACAACGTTTTGCTTGTGACCCACACTCATGAAAAACAAAGACTCACATACCCTGAAGAGGAAGTTACTACAAGAACATTGTAAAACAGCCTGAGAAAATCAATCAGTTCAACCTCTTTCACGAACCACAAAAATCTGCTTCCTTATAGTAGGCAATATACGTATTAAAAGAGTATTAATTAACTTGCACATAGGAACGCACTTTAATACACCAATCAACCACTACCAATTAGTCAACCATTTACAACCAATTAAACAAAATTAACTTTATAATCAAGCAATATTATCTAATCAAGCAATATTCACAAATCAAACATTATCAACTAATCAACAATTATCAACTTATAAAACATTATCAACTAATCAACTATTACCCACTAATCAACCATTATCAACTAATCAACTATTGCCTACTAATCAACCTATTATCAACTAATCAGCCATTATCAAATAATCAATTATTGCCAACTAATCAACCATTATCAACTAATAAACTTCGCATTCAAATAAAAGACGCCCCAATACCGCTTCAGTATCCGACTACGGAAGGCTCATGCAGCAGCCTGACGACAGTCGGAAAAAACGCAATGGACGCGCAATTAAGACTTCAAAGATCAGCTCTTCTCCGGGGCTAAAAATTCTACCAAGAAAATATTTCACCCGAAATTCAAGGTTTACAAAAGCTAAATAATATTGCAATGAACGCAAATTAGAAAATAAATTTAGTTCTGATCATTAAACGGTCAGGTGAACGTTACGATTACGTATCGATCGGGAAGGTCAGGTGTTTTAGAGATTATCTATATCGAAATTGGCATAAGAACATAATAAGTCTCAAACTTGATGAAAGCATACAATAGAACAGTTATACTCTTCTACGTTGTCGAAAATGAATTATGTAGTAATGTTCGCGTAAACATAACACGATGTGACATTCCATTTAAAATAAAAAGGTTTTGGAGATCAACTCTGCCATCAGTTTCAAAGTACATAATACAAGTATTAACGAAGATTTAATTTTAGAAAAAATACTCTGAATTTTAAACGCAGTTCTAAATATTCTACGCAGATAAGCATAATTTTCTATACTTTCGACCATGTTAAGTTTAACTACTTGAAATTATACGGCAGTATTTTGAAAGAGTGTACAATTCTCCTACTTTGGCATTACAATGCCAAGAAACGTGCACCCGGAACAACATAAAATATAAATTGGTTCGTATAATATGACGCTGCGGTAGAACTTCGCAGGTGGTTGAATTAGGAATTACGGTATAGCCCCGCTGAACCTGCCATGTATGGCAGCTTTTAAATGTGTTTCTGTTGCGATAATTTTCGAAGGTAATGAGGCTGTGCCATATGAGCCTTCCGTCCAGCCGCTTGCTTCCTTAATGCTTACAAGTATCAGAAAGTCGAGTCGTGTAGAATAAGCATAGGAAGTTTAAAAATTTCTTGAGGAAGGAAGACTAATGGCGGCACATGGATGGCCTAACCATTTCCCCCTCCCCGTAGTGGACTTTGTATCAGATCCTTAATGCTTACAAGTATCAGAAAGTCGAGTCAAGTAGAATAAGCTTAGGAAGTTTAAAAATTTCTTGAGGAAGGAAGACTAATGACGGTACATGGATGGCCTAACCATCTCCCCCTCCCCGTAGTGGACTTAGTATCAAATCCTTAATGCTTACAAGTATCAGAAAGTCGAGTCAAGTAGAATACGCATAGGAAGTTTAAAAATTTCTTGAGGAAGGAAGACTAATGACGGTACATGGATGGCCTAACCATCTCCCCCTCCCCGTAGTGGACTTGAGGTCGCGCCTGCTCCGTGTAGCTGAGCGCGAACGCCTCGAGCAGGAAAAGAGGGACAGGGGCGAGGACACTGATGATGAAGACCTTGATTGTTCAGATGATCAACCTCCATCAGATTCCTTAGTAGATGCCTTTGGATTTTAAACATGTGATTCCGATGATATGGAGGGCGCTGATGATAGAGACCTTGATTGTTGAGATGATCAACCTCCATCTGATTCTTTAGTAGATGCCTTCGGATTTTAAACATGTGATTAGGAGGACACTGATGATGTGGAAGACACCGGCGCGACGATACTGATGATAGAGATCTTGATTGTTCAGATGATCAACTTCTACCATTGGGAAAAGTTTTGGTTTCTGCAAACGAATTCTACCACCTAAGTTTCTCAGAATTTTTGGGAACGTTTTTTTTTAATATTTCACATTTTCCTTTATAATTCAGTGAGTACGTGGTATCTCTTATCATATCACTTACTTAGACTTTTGCGATAGATCTTTCTTTTTGCCTGTGTTAAAGGTGATGATTTTCTTTTTGAGTCTGCATGGGTATATATATTTATGAACTAATTATTTGTGTTCTCAGTCTAGTTTTCTCTTCATTGTTTGTGCTTTAAGTTATTTTGTTACTGTTAACAGCACCTAAACTAGTTGTACATACACGGAATGGTTTTTAGATTGACTGCAGAATAATATTAAGAAATAAAAATGCTTGATTACTTATATTTCTTCAAAATTCAACAATTGTTTTCAAATTCTGGCATGAATGATTCAAATGTTGATGTTAAAGGCGAATGGCTATATTTGTTTGCATTAAAATGATCTAGGATTGGATCAATTGGGTTTATCAATTTGCCTTAGCTGTAATCGCTTATAGATGCTAAATTCTGTGATGACGTTCGTCGATATTTAATGTGCTGGGGGATTTTTTTTTTCATTTGGTACTACTTTACCTTCACTGAGGCGATTATGTTCAAGCGAATTGATTGGGTAAGGATTGTTTTTTTCTGGTGCTCATTTCTTTATTGTGCATATTAGAATGCGCAGTGCTGTACGTTGTTCTGTGTATAGAGCACCGCTCTCACTGAATTTACGAGCTCTTTTCTTTTAAACTTTTCATGCCGTACGACTCGTCACTGTGGTCTCACAATTTAATTTACTGAATAATTAAGGGCTTGTTTTGATAATTGTACTTATTTGACTCGGGAGTATAAAATTCAATGTAATGTGAGGAACTTCCGCTATGACAAGGTACAAATTAAGTGTTTTGTGAAAGTAAAACAGACGTCAATATTTTCCACCCTCTGGTTAGTGTTGTCCGGAGTTTTCTACATGGAATGTATTCAAATTTCAGCGATGACTGTAAATAGTTGTTTGCTTAGAGGAATCGTACAAATTTTCTTAGCACCTCCAATTTATAATGTAAATAAGCATAACCGTTATTGTTATGTTAGAGCGTAGAATAGTGTAGGTCTAGCTCCAAAATATTTATCTGGAGTGTCAGCCCAAGCTCCTGAATAGCTCCTCTGCGTGACCAAGTCACGACGATCTCTTATTTTTCGCTTTATTTATTTGATGGGACTTTCAGTACCACAACTGGAATGCTTTTCCTCATGAGCTGAGTGGCCGGCATGCGTTTTCTTGCGTTGATGTTAACGAGTTGTACAGCACTTGATCAGGGTTACAGTTCTGACTTTAATATATATGAAAGTTTCTTATTCTTTTAGACATTAGTCGAGTCAAGTAATGTTTTTTTTTTTTTTTTGCAAATAGTTGACTGCTAGAAGCTTCACACGAGCCTCCTGATCAATCTACATAAAAATGTTCATCTTTTTTTGCTTTTATGAATGCTTATTGATTGAAACTTCAATTCCTTCCGCTAATGTTTGCGTGATTATGTTATGCGTGTGTTGTTTTTTCAAACTGCACATTTATTCAGTATAAATCTTCATTTCTCTTCTGGGTGTGATAAATTTGCTTATCACAATCTTGAGGTAGAATTTCATATTCCTGGAGTGGCTGTGGCGGAAGGTAACATTATTGATCTACAGTTGCGTTATAAAATCAATTGGAACACGAAACAGAAACTGACGAGATTGATGGTTGCTGTTCATTCCTTCGTTCTTCAGTATGAATGCATGTCCTATAATTACTTGACGTTCTTTTCGTACCAAAAAATTTTTTGTATATAATTCTGTAGCTTTTGTTTTAGTGAGGAATATGTATTTTTGGATTATTAGGTTTCGTATGCTCAGTCGTCGCCCGTTCCAGGGTGAATTTTTTTTAGTTGAGAGCGTAATGAATAGCTATTGTTGAAGATAAACATAGTGAAACTGGTCAAAAAGTGGATCATTAGTTCAATTTCGTACTATATATCAATGAATCAATTTTTTTTAACGTTTTGTAAGTTATGAAAATGCTATTTTGTATCCTAAGGTGAATGAATCTAACAATAACTGTCATAATTTGCAACGGAATAATTTTTTTACAGCAATTTCTGTGAAGGGTAGGAAAGCAACTGCATGATCAAACATTTTTTCATCACAAATTTTGACATAATTATTTTATTGCCTATTTCTCATTGCGATTGCAAAGTATACTGTAAAAACGTGCGTGTTTTTGTTATACCTGTCGTAATTGAAGCGTCGCTTTGTGCTCTTATAATTTCTAACGTGATCAGCTTCTTGTCACGTGAACATTGACGATCGTAATTTTTCGACCTCCTTCACCTTTTTTACTGAATATATATATCTCTTGCTTTTGTAGCGGTCTCGTATACCATTCAAGAGTTATATGCAACACCAAGATGTTCATCAAGTCCAGATTTTTTTATTATTAGTTAGCTTTCTACAATTGTTATGTAACGACTACTATCTACGGTAAATACTACAGCCATTTATCGAGTAAAGCTTAGTGTCGTAATATCCCATTTCAACCAAATGTGGTTGAAATAAGATTTCAACCTAATTGGTTGAAATGGGATATCAACCCAATGTGGTTGAAATGGGATATCAACCCAATGTGGTTGAAATGGGATATCAACCCAATGTGGTTGAAATGGGATATCAACCCAATGTGGTTGAAATGAGATTTCAACCCAATGTGGTTGAAATGGGATTTCAAACTAATGTGGTTGAAATTGTAAATCAACCTAAAATGCCACAACAAGGCGTAGCAGGAAACACATCTAACCTCAGTTAAATCAACGCGCGCAGCCTCTTCTCGTGTCCACCTTAATGCTAACGACCAGATTTGACTTCAGACGATCCAGCAGGGAGGCCTCGAGATATAATTGAATTTGAACTTGCCGTTTTTCTTGGACCGCAGGACGATAGTGTCACCTCGGCGCAGCTTATCTGCTGCCCCGAACATGTCTGCGTAAGAGAATTCAGTAAATAAATGAATACAGGGCAGTTGTTCTGTAAAATTTACCGATTGAATATTAATCGAGATGGCCTAATGATTGTAATGTAGCATATTAACAAAAAAAAAAGTCGGGAAGCTCTATCTTGTCCAGCCCAAATATGCTATTCTTTACGGTACACATTTCAGACAATTTTTTTAAGCTTTTCATCAAAACGTCATTCAACATTTAATTCTTTACACACATGCCATGCAAGATGCAACTGCAATTAATAATACCTCAAAATACCGTTTTCAAAAGATCAAACTTTTCAATGCAACACCACGTGTTGGAGGGGTGTTAATATTAATAAAGACAAAAAGAAAGCCATGATCATTGGAAGACATTCATATTCACATTCAAATAGCACTTCCAGTCCTCATTTGCAATCGAACCATTGCACGGACCGTATTGTCCAAACATAGACCCACTATCTTAACAACAAAAGAGTGAGCGTAGCACTGATACTGAATTTTGCCGGGCTAAACTGTTTCAGGATGACCCAAATGAGGGCAAAAAAACTGCATCGTTATTTAGACAAACTGTCTTGCTTTTTATTTTACCTTTGGTGAGCGGCGTGACGACTGAGCACGACCTGGACATGAGTTCCAGACATTTCTCTGCCAGGTACAAGAAGACAGGGTCCACGTTGTGGTCTTCTAAGGCTGAGGTCCGGAACAACCTAACTCCCAACTCTGCTGCCAATTCTTCTACTCTGGATCTGGAAGTGGATAGGAGGATACCCAATTGTCTTTATTAATACAGAGTGACCAACAATTGTTCATCTTGTTCCCATGCCACTATAATTATATTGTCCTTTATTGTTGTAAACAGAAATTCATGTGACGAAGTTCAACAGTTGCACCACATAGGTAATGATAATGTAAAATTTCTATTTTCAAATAGAATGATTTGTGTGAAATGCAGACATTTAATAATAAGAAAAATTCTGTCGCTTGCGATCCTAAATTTAAATGCTTACTGCATCTCCTTCGGAGTGCGTTAAAAGCATTCAACTTTCGTGAAATTTGTTTCAACTCGTTTGTTTTTCGCAGTGTCATCACCAGCGTTCTTCCTAATTTGCAATTTCGTAAACGACGTTAACCGGTTAATTTTTGTATCCATTAAATACAAATGAGCATTGAAATAATTAATTTAACTTAGTAACTTATTTATTTTTGCCCCTTACTGATTGACGTTTGCAGTAACTCCTAGAAGGTCGATTTTAGTCTGCACCAACACAGTGGGTATTTGTCCGCAAACCTGCTCAACCTGGAAATGCATATATTTGTGAGTACACAAGAACACTATATAAATACCTAAACTAGTCATATATTTGAAGAGGTTCTAGTCAACATCAATGTATATTCATATCAAGTTTTCAAATGATATTAATATGGGACTAAGAAAGATTCTCCTGAACAGGTAACGGGCAAAACCCAGCTAAACAGTACCTATACTGCAACCTATTTAAGAGGTTCGCGGGCGCATTGGCTATAGACTATAGAGGTATCTGGCACATGGCGCAATACGAACATAATCAGCATAATGAGAAGTCTTTATCATCAAAAATTTCTTAAACGCAAATTTATTCATCGTTCATAAAGAGAGGACCCCGTCTTGGATGGCCAAACGGCAACATACAAAAGCTGTAATAGCATTTTAGCGATATGTGCCAATAGTAGAAAACTGATAAGAACTAAGTCACATTTACAATGTACACGAGGCCGCACTTACGGTCAATAGCATAAAACAGAAAAATAAAATGTAAGAAATCTTGCCTACACTATTATTGAGGTCAAGTTTATTTGTAGAATACACAACAAACATAGCCCCACAACAGCGAGCCGCAGTCTGATACCGCAAGCCCCGTTAGGCTTTGCTCAAAAAATGTTCTGTGAAGGCGAATTGCTTTACTACTTCCGACAAGTGGAGACCAGCGTCAGAAAGCCCTCTGAGAGGGAACATATCACAAAGAATTTTCTTATGAGTACTTAGCTTACTCAAAAAGAACAATACAAGAATCGGCGACAGGCCAAGCTTATCCTATTCTTCAGCACCAACACTGCTATACCATACTAAAGACACGTATGCTTGGGCCCAGCACAAAACCTTCTCTTTCCAGAAGGGGACGGCAGCGAGAGATTCTGGATCTGTGGTGCTGAATGCAAGTATGCAGCAGGACGCCCCTCTGTAGTAGGCGCGAGTGATGGTCGCAAACTCTTCTTGTCCAGCCGTGTCCCACAGCATCAGATGTACGGAGCGCCCACCGCAACTGGTGGGTGTCATTTGAAATTAATTCATTTCAGTTCAAATTTAGCATTCATTTTGCATGACAAGACAAATTGCAAGCTATATCAGCACAATATTTCCAATGATATTTTACTAATAATGGAATTATTTGAAGCTGAGTAAAATTTGAAGTGCTCGGAAGAGATCATCCGCCATTGATAACCGGGGCTGACCAGAATTTTTCATCAGAAAACTGGAGACAACATACACCGAAGACAACAAATTATTTATGCACAAAACAAGTGCCTGTTAAGACCGTGGATTAATTATTACCATTTCTTTATTTGGTCAGCAAAACACCATTGGTGGGATCTTTTTTCGGTGGTTTTTACTAAAAAAAATTCATACTCGTATCTCAAGAAACTTTATGGCAAAATCGGTTTGCCAGATCACTGCAGTTTTCCACGTACCGGTAACGGCGAACTCAAGATCACCCGCTGCTACTCTCAAAAAATAATGGGTCATATCGTCCAAATAGAGACCCACTATCATATCCACAACACAAGCAGAGAACGGACGTAGCATTGATGCGGTCCAAATTGGGTCAGGATGATCCACTTAAGGGCAAGAAGTGCATGATATTTAGACAAGGCCTGTCTTATTTCTCTGAGTGTAGGCTGAGCTTAGTATTGACAGCCGACGGGGTAAACTCCAGATAATGAACTTTGCAATATTAATGTCGTAGTTGAATTATTTCAACCATGATTTAATTCTTATGTATAATAAATTTTCGATATTGAACATTATAAAATAGCAAACTTGTTCGAAGTAACTAACGTAATATTAAGATTGCTTGAGGTAGGCGATTCAACAACAGCAAACAATAGGAAATAATTTTTCTGTACCCTACCACAATTGCATGCTCGACAAAAACGCTAACTAATAACGCAGTTATTTTCAAGTACTTTTCAACTGTATTTTTCAATTGCAGCAGCGCTATAGTATTGTCTTCCGAAGATCAGCGCGATATCTTGAATGATCAACTTTTGCGTCTTGCAAGTCGGTCTTGCAAGATTTTAGTCTTTAAAGACTTACTCTGACCGTCGAAAGTCTCGCAGCATCATGCGTATCGTACTTAGTGCGTCTTTCTTGAAACTCGTGGAATGTCTTGAACAACCTACTTAGTGCGTCTTTCGAGAAATACTTAAATTGTCTTTAACAACCTACTTAGTGCGTCTTTCCAGAAATACATCTATTGTCTTGAACAACCTACTCAGTGCGTCTTTCCAGAAATACTTCTATTGTCTTGAACAACCTACATACTTCGAATGTCTTGAACAACCAACCTACTTAGTGCGTCTTTCCCGAAATACTTTGTCTCGAACAACCTACTTTGTGCGTCTTTCCAGAAATGCTTCGATAGTTTTGAACAACCTACTTTTAGCGTTTTTCCAGAAATATTTCGATTATCTTGAACAACCTACTTAGTGTGTCTTTCCAGGAAGTCGGCGCCAATAGTCCTGCAGTAACTCTGTCTGAAGGTGCCACAGCAGTAGCGTTGGATCAGAGACGACTTGCCCACAGCTCCGTTACCCACAACAACAACCTGCACACGATGAGCAGCAAAATGTTATACTTTTCTAGCTACACTCAAGACTCTCAGTATAAAAACACAGACAAAGACAATTCAAGTTCACGATGTTGTAAATAATTATTTCCCACAGCACACATCGTTCAATGTACCACTGCTAACCATTTCAAATTGGTACGTTAGAATAGGTTTCTCCAAGTCCATTATGCAAGAAATTTGTGACTGGTAATAGTGCAGGACATAATTAAGGAAACTAAATAATAATTAAAATTATTTTTAATAATATAATAATTTATTATGAAAAAACTTGAGTCACGATAATAACATGTGACAATAGCAAAATGAGGACCTGTTCTTGGACGTTGCAAGAAAAACGATATTTGCACGAACATTTTGATGGTACATGTCACTGGAGCTTAGTTCATTTCGTCCAAAAGGATGCGACCTTGTGATTAATTTTTCGTCCATATTGAAGGATAAATTTGCAGTGTTACATTTGTTGCTAAAAATGAATTCAAATCACAGACAAATAATGTAAAAATTAATTTTTTTTAGTAACTAATTAATGAAGCCGTCTCTCTTACTTATCAATAATCGAGTCCATCTCGTATCGGAAATCAAATCTGTCCAAGAGAATTCTTGCATATAAAACAATAGACTCACGAACCCTAAAGACAAGCCATTGAATATTTTAAAGAAATGCTTCTTCCTGGAAGTAACTCACCTCGAGCTAATCTCATCACTGCTATTTAAAATCATGCTTATCAGTGCGATGAAAAACTTGTAACGTCGCTCTGACCCGGCAATCAATCACCACTCACCTCGGTAGAGACTAGCGTCAAGCGATCACCACTCACCTCGATAGTCTAGCGCCAAGCGATCACCACTCACCTCGGTAGAGACTATAGCGCCAAGCGATCACCACTCACCTCGGTAGAGACTAGCTCCAAGCGATCACCACTCACCTCGGTAGAGACTAGCGCCAAGCGATCACCACTCACCTCGGTAGATACTATAGCGCCAAGCGATCACCACTCACCTCGGTAGAGACTAGCGCCTTGCGATCACCACTCACCTCGGTAGAGACTATAGCGCCAAGCGATCACCACTCATCGAGATGCTGACAACCGAGACTAGAAGCATAAAGCATACATCATTCATCCTGATGCCAACAACTGGAACGATCAGCATTCACCTAGATAACAATTGGAACTTAATGAAAACAACTCTAAATCTTGATGCCAAGAACTGAAACGATCAGCAGTCACCTTGATAACAATTGGAACTTAATGAAAACAACTGTAAATCTTGATGCCAACAAGCGGAGCGATCACCAGGCACTCACCTTGATGCCAACACCCACGTCCTCCTCTTTGGCGCATTTCAAGGCAGGGCCTTCAGTGGAAAAGTGGTCTTCGATGTACATGATCAGTTCCGCAGTCGCACTTCCACACACAAATGGCACATAAATTTATTGGTTTTTCTTAAGTTTGTCTTTCAGCATTTTCAGAAAACGTAGCTTAATATGACGAGCGTACAAATTCACTATAAAGCGTGGTCGCGAATTTAATACAGCCTTTGGCAAGCCACTGGAAATAAAATAAAGAGAATTATAACACTAACAGTATTGAAAAATATTCTCTCATAAACGAGCGTTCGGTCATTAATTAATTCTACTGAGGACCATTCACCAAGGTTTACACTCACTTAACTTAGTCAATTTTATAAACAAGAACGTTCAAGGCTCCATTCAGCTCCACCAGATTATATCTTTTGTTCAAAGCACACAACACAGACGTTAGAGAGGCACGTGTTCATACAATATACATGATTTGTATTGACATTTCTGTTATTGAGCGAGGACTTCTACGTTGACCTTGCATGATGAAGCAATTTAGTCGCGCCCGCCAGCTGTTCAGGGTAAGGGCCTGTCTCTCACACGTACGGGCGCAGGTGCGCGTACATCAACGAATGCTATGAATAAAATATTAATAAATGAATATTTTCAATACGTAAATTTTTAAAGATGATTGCCTGATAGATTTATAATGTGACAGTAATTTACCAATAATTAGCCCTTAATTCTAGACAGTATACTTCAAATCAATAGTTGTTTCTAGTGAAACGCGCGAACCGGCCAACTAAGAAAATCGACTAGGTTACAACATAAAATATTTTTCTTGAAGACCTTTAAATGTAAGAGCGCAGAGATCGAGAATCTTGATGCCGACGCTCGTGCAAATCAGCGTCTCATAAAATAAAATTTCAGCAATAACATAAGGAGAGAAAATGTATCGAAATTTTCATTTTTTTACTGAATTATTTTTATTTAATTGCCCACAACTGATCGCGGTGAGAATAAAAGCTTGCGGCGCAAGCAGACGATGACGATCGAGAAAGACGCTCCACAGACCGGAACCTCTTAAAGAAAAAAATGTGCACATGTAAGAACCATTTGAGAGATCCCCGTTCTGCTCCGACAACTTCATCGAACGGTAGAAGAAATTTTATTTCTCGTGAGGAATGAGTGATAGTTTATACAGAAAAGTCGGTAAAACTTGAGATGAGGGATACATGAACAAATTTAAATCATTACAAACTTAGCCTTGCTACGATTTCATCTGACTTCATGTAACCAGTATGACATATTTTTCCACTTCCCAAATTTTCCAATACAAAAAAATCATATTCCAGTCAAAGTTTCATCTGCACCAGGTTAACTTGGTAAAGCACAGCTGTGTGAGGTCAAGTCATAATAGCTGGAGCCACAGGTCGTGTCAGAGGGTGTCTATACTTTCACAACGTTTTGCTTGTGACCCACACTCATGAAAAACAAAGACTCACATACCCTGAAGAGGAAGTTACTACAAGAACATTGTAAAACAGCCTGAGAAAATCAATCAGTTCAACCTCTTTCACGAACCACAAAAATCTGCTTCCTTATAGTAGGCAATATACGTATTAAAAGAGTATTAATTAACTTGCACATAGGAACGCACTTTAATACACCAATCAACCACTACCAATTAGTCAACCATTTACAACCAATTAAACAAAATTAACTTTATAATCAAGCAATATTATCTAATCAAGCAATATTCACAATCAACCAATATCAAACACTCACCAATCAACTATTATCAAGTTATCAAACATTATGAACTTATCAGCTATGACCAACTAATCAGCCATTATCAACCTATCAGCCATTATCAACTAATCAACTATTACAAACTAATCGGCTATGATCAACTAATCAACCATTATTGACTAATCAATCTTTATCAACTAATCAACTATTATCAATTAATCATCTATTATCAACTAATCAAACATTATCAACTCATCAAACATTATCAACTCATCAAACATTATCAACTCATCAAACATTATCAACTCATCAAACATAATCAATTTATCAAACATTATGAACTTATCAACTATTACCCACTAATCAACCATTATCAACTAATCAGCCATTATCAACTAATCAGCCATTATCAACTAATCAATCATTGCCAACTAATCAACCATTATCATCTATTATCAACTAATCAACTTTGCATTCAAATAAAGGACGCTCTGATTACGCTTCAGTATCCGACTACGGATGGCTCATGCAGCAGCCTGACGACAGTCGGAATAATATACGTTTAAAAATTACTTTTTAAAAACAACACTTCTAAAGAATCTAGTGTTTCCAATGTTACAGATGTACAATGAATTTCTTATTTTATTTTCGAATATTAAAAAATTAATTTTTCTATTTTTTAATATACCTATAAAATTTTTTCAAATTGTTTATTCTGTCAATTGATTCATGCATCGCCTCCAACTTCACACAAGTGTGCAAAATTTCATATCAATTGGACAGGTAAAAGTGTGTCAAATATCACTTATAAGAAATTTGTAGTTGACAAAATTATTTTTTCATTTTTTAATATTAAAAAACATTTTTATTCCTAAAATTATTTATTTTGTCATTTGATTCATGCATTGTCTCCAACTTTACGCAAGTGTGCAAAATTTCAGATCGATAGGATAAGTAGAAGTGAGTTAAATTTCGATTACATGATTTGTAGCAGACAGACAAACAGACAAACAAGAAGTGAAGTTAAAGAAAAGTGTTGTAATAAACGCAATGGAAGCGCAATTAAGACTTCAAAGATCAGCTCTTCTCCGGGGCTAAAAATTCTACCATGAAAATATCTCACCCGAAATTCAAGGTTTACAGAAGCTAAATTTCGAAGGTAATGAGGCTGTCCCATATGAGCCTTCCGTCCAGCCGCTTGCTTCCTTAATGCTTACAAGTATCAGAAAGTCGAGTAGAATAAGCATAGGAAGTGTAAAAATTTCTTGAGGAAGGAAGACTAATGACGGTACATGGATGGCCTAACCATCTCCCCCTCCCCGTAGTGGACTTGAGGTCGCGCCTGCTCCGTTAGTCGCGGCTGCCGCGTCATGCCGGCCGGGTGGGTGTCCTGACTTCATAGCTGCGTCGGCACGCAAAACGCAATCGACCGGTTAGGCAGAATGGGAGGCTTGAAATTTCTGTTCAATGAGATAACGGAAAATTTTCCGGCTCAACGCTTTAGGCTACCCGAAAATAAAAACCACTATCTGCAAATGGAGGAGTCTCTTTTTAGACATGGCTCTTCTATACCTATACCACCAGCAATCTCATTTTAAAGCATAAGTCGCAAAACCTTGCAATATACATCCCACAAAAAAAACTTTTATTCTGAGCGGAACAGCCTAATTTTTCATTGAACGTTAGTAAATACATCCTTTCCTTTTTCCACAGACAAAAAATTTTTGCCATCAATTTGGCAGAGAGTTAGCTGTCCTAAGTAGTGTTTTAAACACAAAATCTTGCAAGGCGCTGCTTTTTTTTCGAGCAATGAGCGGGAGAAAAAGTGTTCAGGTTTTTACGTAGTCAGAGGTCACTGGAAGTTGGCTATCGCAAAAGGCCTAACAAAAAAACTCCACTCTATGCACGCAGGCAAATGAAACACGGCAAGCACAAAAAAAAAATTTCAATATGTACAAAATAAATAACTTGCTGGTGATTCTTCACCAGTAAGTGAAAAATATTTTTGGACTAATAGTTCAAATTTTTTAAATAGTTATGGAAAATTGTAATTAAATATAATTCTAAGGGGGAATCATTCAAATGGACGTACAAAAAAAAAAAACTACGCTAAGATTACGAGTATTCATTTCATGGGTCGATTGAAACGTGATTAGTTCAGCTACACGTGAAAGTTGTCTTACACTCGCAGGCTTACATACATCACGGAGGTGTATACGTACAATATTTTCAATTCGATCCAGTTCGGCACTTCGCGCCACGACCTACATTTCGGTTTACAAAGGGTTATAGCTTACACCATTGAAACGTTGTATTCTGCGAATACGGACAAATCAGTAAGAAATATTGTAAATTATAAGTAGATATTTGATCGTACAGATTGAATTCACTAAACATGCACGACTTTGGCAGCGCTATGGAGTGTCCGAGTGTCAACAGCACTGAACGCGATTTCCCTCACCACAAGAATCGTTAAAAGAAACAACCATCAGTAAAGAGGGAAAGCTGCGACGAGCAGCGAAACCAAGACAAATGAAGTACGACGTTTTGCTTTCTACATTTATTTCCAGCAAAACAGTAATCCATCTACAGAATGCTAGCAATCATAACAAAAACGCACTGAAAGGAGAGCATATGTGGAAACTTGAAATTTTTTGGGACGAACTTCGTGTAACAGATGTGTGCATTACCACTCCAGCACATCCGTCTTATACGGTAGTATGTTTGTCATCGTGACAGCATATGTCCGATCCCCTATTATGATTGAAATATGCAAATAATTCGATATAAACCCTTACATAGTATAGTTTATAAATACTGAACATTATTTCACGTTTAACTTCACAGCGTCAAGCGACGGTGCACAACATAATTCATCATTCGTTGTCTCCTGCCCTGAACGAACATTCTACGAGATTAAACTAGCTAACTCGCGAATTTAATCTTTACTCAACGTCTGGATGAAAATTCAGCATACTCGGAAGACAAGTCCATTGAAAGTTCGGACTAAAAAGGCAGTTCTTTGTAAGACATGAGCATTCTGCACTCGAGATGGAAGCCTGCAGCAGTAAAGAGCTAGCATCCACAGCAGAGTGCCCGAGCCCACGTGAACTGCAACAGTGTGGGCGCACCTAACCTACGTATCAACATGGACAGCCCACGTACATGAAGCAGTAGCCACCTCAACTTTTAGATTCACTAATACGAGCAGCTTTAACTTCATTTATTTTTTAATTATTCGAAGTTCTAATGACCGATGGTTTGTTTGAGAAAAGCGATGAAGTCCAGTTGTAATCTGATGCACTGGAAGCAACAGAAGGACAAAAAAATGCAACTTGCGGCTGTCGCTGCGAACGGTTATCGTACCTGCCACGCTGCCGGAGGCCCGACTTTTTACCTCATGATACATAATTTATCAGGTACAATGAACGCTCTTCCGCTCCCAATGAGCTAAGCAATACGGTAAAAGTAAAAAAATTACCTAAGTACTGGATCCTCAATAAGCAATGTTTCGTTTTTTTTTCTGTAGAATTTAGCCTGAAGGTAAAATGTTTTATCTTTGAATGAAATTTTTCTCATCTCTTGAATCGAAGGGATACAAGTACTTTCTTCTCCCTAGATTATATCTACAAGTCTACAACCTAATATATTGAAATACACATAGCAACAACAGTAGTTCAAAATTGCCAAAACAAGGCTAGGCTAGCTTTTATCAAGGCTAGCTGTCCGTTTTCCCGAATAAATTTAATATATAGCTTGAAGTATTGAAATGCATTAAACACTTGCGAATGTAATCATTTCCTCGCGAGAGAGACACGCACAGTTTCACAGGGACACTTAGTCTTGGGAATCTTTTTTGAAAGTACCGTAGTGTTTAACAGTCTATACTATGGCAGATGAAGACGATTAGACATTGTGCGCAAAATTGGCGACACGATTAGCTGTTTGGCTTTTAGCATTTGAATACGATTAAAGATTGTGCGCAAAGCTGGCAAACAAGATTAACCGCTTAGAGATATCCAGATTCCAGGAAGTGCCTAAGTTTGGCCATGGACATCGCATGGCAATTGCTTTAGTTTCCTTGTAATTTTCGTCAAATAAAATTTTGTACAGATGCATATGACCTTAAAAAACTATCAAAATATCCGGCAGGTTAAGGCTGATTTCATGTAGAAAGAGATGTAAAAATACACACGAAATATATCACACTCGAGTCAAGACTCAAGTCAAAATCAACCCCATCCTCAACGAAACGCACGAAATCCCCCAGTTCAAATGTTATTCAAAGACGCATTGAAAAATAGTTATCTAAAATAAGTGGGCCCTGACACCTAATACTATTACTAATATTAACAGGTTACAGGATAGCTACTGCTGAGGCTATGGTTGACGACTTGACATTCACGTAGCCTACTCGGTACTCTTACTATGTAGTATGTACATTCATAATGAATTCATTTCATGAGCATAGCATTAACCAATTGCAAAATGTGAAGATTGTGTACAATTTTTTATAAGGACAATCGATTGACTATCAAGTCCGAAAAAACCTACCTTACTAAGTTACTAACCTTAGTAACCTCACAAACATAGGCCAATGCACATTGCAATTCAACCATGCTGAGAAATTGAGAATTGCACGATCCAACGTAAACAACTCGATATTTCGAGGTTTCCTGTAAACAGAGTGTAGGATACTGAAACTTTCCACATTTAATTCCCTAAAATCTGTCTTTCGATTGAAAGCAGACCGGCAGACGAGCGATTATAGAATATGTTTATGCACGAGCTTCTTTCAATTTTGGGTTTTGTCGAAAACTGAAATTGCCACTTGCAAGTTCTCACAACTCAACTATCAAGTTATTGTTTTGGACTTTACAAACGGGTTAAGTTTGAATGCAAAGCTTGTGAAGTAAATTTCACTTAAATAAAAAATACATCAACATGTCAGAGCAGAACGAATTAATATAGTCATTCACATTTCACGATACTTAACGCACGAGCTTCAACTTTGCCGGTTCTCTACAAGCTTGTTGATCAGCTCTCCAAATGACACAGCCATACTTGACCACGTTCTAGCATGCACTGAGTGATGGGAGTGAAGTCAGTGAACCGAGTGATCAGTGATGGACTGATGGCATCATGGCGGGACATGGCCGATGGGAATATGGTTATATGGGATGGGCCGGGCCGCGACCCGTCGCGAAGAAGACAGAAACTTGAGTTAAAAGACTAGGTCTAACAATTTTTTCCTTTAATTAAAAGTTGGCCCTGCATAGCATCGCAAGCATGCGTAACTAGTTGCTGGCATGTTTCTTATATCAAAATAAGCTCCATGTTTTGCCATGAAAAATACGCCTAATTAAAATTGAAGGACCAAATTATCAGAAAAAAACGGGAATTACACTTTTCATAAAAAAGGCCCAAAACGGATAAAAAGGCCAAATTAATTTTTGTCGGGCCAATGCCTTTAAAAAAGGCCACATCTGCGAAATTTGGCCTGAAAAAGGCACATCTGGCAACACTGGATGGGATGGGAGTGGGACTCATGGGCCGGGGGCCGCCGGGCCGCGAAGAAGACAGAAACTTCAGTTAGAAGACTAGGTCTAGCAATTTTTTCCTTTAAATTAAAGTCGGCCCTGCATAGCATCGCAAGCATGCGTAACTAGTTACTGGCATTCTTGTTATGATATCAAAATAAGTTCCATGTTTTGCCATGAAACATACGCCTAAACTACGAAGGAAATCGCACAGCAAAATATCGTATATATAATTTTTGAAGCTCATTTTTTAAATAGTCAAATTTTCACTGCTAAATTATGGATGATTTCTAGACAGATGTTCTTCAATGGGATCACATTATGAATTCACAATATAAAATATTTAGAGTTCATTCCAATCATTCGCATTCATCTTGCGCAAGCATTCTTACAAAGACTAAGCGCCGAATTCTGTGCCCTATTAGCAGAAATGAACGTCGATAAATTTCAGAAATCTTTTTAGAAAAAAATATATATATCAGATTGATATTTAGAGAGTGTAACAAGCGGGCTTTCTACCCGATGCTATGTCTGTCTCTTATACACATCTAGATGTGTATAAGAGACAGGTGTCAGCCCCGGCATGTCAGCCCCGGAGTGTCAGCCCCGGAGTGTCAGCCCCGGCATGTCAGCCCCGGCGTGTCAGCCCCGGAGTGTCAGCCCCGGCGTGTCAGCCCCGGAGTGTCAGCCCCGGAGTGTNAAACCATCATATTCGGAGTATGTAAATAATCTAGAGCCACTTAGGAAGGTCACATTTATAAATAAATATTATATTACATTATGGCTTGGCATATTATGAATATGCTAAATGAATTAGCATATAGCTAAATGAATTATGGCTTATGAATAATATTATGAATATGCTAAATGAATTAGCATATAGCTAAATGAATTATGGCTTATGAATAATATGCTTGGCATATTATGAATATGCCAAGAAACAAGGAGATACGAATAATCTAGAATGAGTCACTAAGCAACAGATTTTGTTAGACATATCAGACCGCGGTCCGTCATGGCGACCACGTCAATTTGACCAGCAACGATCGCTGTACGGAACTGAGAAGCACTTGCAGAGCTGCGGTGTGTCAGGACAGAGATTCATATATTACCCGTGTAAACTATACAAGAAATAAATAATTGCTGAATCCTTAAAAAATAACAATTCTTAATACTGATGATTTAACCTCATGTGTGCGTTGTCGATGGTGAGGAGCTAGTAGATTATACAGTTATACCTATAATAATGTACTATGCATTTAAAATGACTAAACATTGTTCAGTGTGTGGTATACACGAGTACGTGACATTATAATTCTAACAACAATAGCTCGTTCCATAAATATCTACTTCGAAGTTCAATAAAAAAAACTATGCAATCACTTTAGAAACATTCGTTTTCGCGTTTTTTCGCGAAAACTCATATATGTCCATTCGTGTGCCCACGAAAGTTGATGCCAAGGAAATTCAACATTAATATTTATATAATTTAAATTTTGATGGTTTGTTTGTGCATGATATTAGAGAGGCGATCGCATTGCATCTTCTCTACAATCTTATTTTGACCAGTTTGTTACAACGTGTAACATTATTGGCATATGTAACCTAAACCTAGTCCCAAGCTATATAACCTTGTCCTTGTTTACCTGCTACTTATTCGACACAATTTTCCTAGCAACGCCTGATTAACCCGCTAATAAATGATAATTTCATTACAGTGGAATTCACTTGACATCGAGAAGGTGGAACGAGCCCAAAAAGATTCGACTGCAAGCTCTGATTCCGACATCATAAAAGAGAGATTTCTGGTCGAAGATTTGAGCTTTGTCAATCAAGCAGAGCCAAGCTTCAGCAATACTCCAGAAGAGATTAAAATAATTGGTAAAGAAATGGATTACTCCCCCTTGAGCCAGAACCGTCAGGAAGGCAACGAAATTTGCAGTGAAGAAGTATGTAACAAATTCTTCATTTGGAAGTTAAGGTTTCTTCACACAATCATGGCTGCAGTCCTGGTGTTTGTGGGCATGCAGCAAATAGAGCGACCCGACGCTGCGGTTTGGATTGTGAGTAAAAACATTATATATGAATAGTGATACTGGTATAAACAACAGGTAGATATATTTTTATGGAATAAATTCATCCAAAGACGCGTATCCCCAGAGACGCGTATCACTATATCCCAGTCGGTCACAGTCAGGTTCTGAGCACCCAAGTTAGAGTTCCTGAGTACTTAACCGAGCTATGGAGAATTTATTACATCTAAATTTTCATTTATTACACCAATAATAAATTATACAAAACAGGTGTCAGGATACCTTGACGACATTGCAAAAAAGAACTTGAAACGGGATAAATAATGAAATTACTGTTAAAAATATATATACTATGCCTATTTTCGTAAGAGCCCCGCATATGGTAGTATCTTTCATTATTTGGCTTAATACCCAAGTTATAAAATGAAAATTTCAACTTTTTCAAATAAGGCAGGTATTCAATCAAAAACGCGTCGCTATAATTTAAAAATTGTTCTGAATAATTTTATCTGGAATTTCACCAACAATTGTCAATTATAGTCGATATATAAAACTCGCGGAATTTGTTCTCCATTCGACGGTTTTAATAAAGCAAACAATGAAACGGTTTCATTTTTTCTGTTTCAACAGCCCTTGTTCACGGTGCCAGCCGTTATCACATTGCTCTCGACACTCAAAGTCACGTTCATCGGTGAGTGCAAACATTAAATTACCCAAAAGACTTGTTTGATGCCAACACAAATTATGATTTAGTAACAAATATTTATCGTGAAACATTATTAACAGGATGAATTGCGTGCAAGTAATAATTCGTGTCCAATATAAAACTCGAACAAAACCATTTTGCATTGAACCTAATCGCACTTCGTGAATAAAACAAAATTAATGTAATATATAACGAAAAACTATGAATATCCGTCATAATAGTCATTTGTTCATTCATATTTCTTTTCAAAAATTATAATGTTTTATAATTTTTCTTATCTATTTATGATATATTTTAAAAAATTTCTCCTTGTTTGTTCATATTATATTTATTAAATTTGTTTATATATATGAAAATTTGTATATTTTTCATAATGTATAAAATTTTTGCGTTTTTATATAAAATTTCACAAATTTCACGGCCTAAACTTGATATTTATTGTAAGATGGCGTATGCATGCGTTCGCTGGTGAGCGTGTATCTGGGCAGCGCGATATGCCTTATGTGATTATTATTATTATTATGCATTATTATGTAATTAATATTATTATTATGTATTATTATGTAATTAATATTATTATTATGTATTATTATGTAATTAATATTATTGTAAGATGGTGTGTGCATGCGTTCGCTGGTGAGCGTGTACCTGGGCAGCGCGATATGCCTGCTGATCTTCCTGGCTACGTCACTGCTCGTGGTCATGGCTAAGCAGACCTACGACGTTACCTACAACCCTCTCAACTTCCAGGAGGGCAGGTATGAATATCTAGATAGATATATGAATGCAGGTATGAATATCTACACATAGGCATAACTTACGCATGAAGGTGGCGTAATTTATTTATAATAAATTAAATGAAATTAATTAAATGAAATATATAATAAATTTATAATAAATCTAATGAATAAAAGAATGTATAGGCATTCTCATGTAATTTATACATGAGAATGCTTATACAGGCAGGTATAAATGTATTTTTATACTTGGTCATGTTTATACACGAGCATAGTTATACATACGAGTAGGAATAATCATAAATGGATGTAATTATTCGCATTAGTAATCACATTTATACCTGTGCATGCTTATACAGACGGTAAGCATACTTAAATACGGGCAGTGAGACAAATTTGATAATTGGCATACTTATTCAAACATGTAGGCATATTTATTCATAGATGGGAATAATTATGCATGCAGGTAAACATACATATGAAAACACATATGTACGCACATTCATGCAGGCAGGAAGGCACTATATCAAATATTCAGGTATCAAGGTAGACAATTGATCAAATGATCAGTGCATGTGCTTGGTTTAAATTGTATCAAATAAATCAGGTAACATGTGACACACTTTAATAGAATTGATTTTTTTAGTTACAATTTATATGAAGATAACAAACTTCCACTAAGAAAAGCATTTAGACTGACCAATAGTTTAAACGCACTCGAAAATTCAAACGCTAATATTCAAATATTAGGTCTTCTGAAAAAATATCACTTCTACTATTGAATGTCAGCAAAAATTTGCTTTAATTTGAAGGGAGATGATGGCCGTGGCAGTGTGCGTTGGCTGGCAGAAATTCCACCTCTTCACGGTTAAAGAACAAGCAAGGTATTCATTCTTTTTCTTAATTACGAGTTCAGTCACTCCGCAAAACGATGCGAATAAACTCTTCTATTCCTGCATTTAAAAAGTTCGCTAAGAATCGTAATGTATTTATATATCAATTCCTTGACCATTTAAATAAATCTGACAAGTGAAGTGAATTTTTGTTGAATGTGATGCACTACATCAGATTCGGTGGAACCATTTCAATTGTAACAAATACTAAAAGAAGTATTGTAACAACAATACTTCTTTTAACAATTTTTACAAATACAAATAACAATTTTTTTAACAATTGTAACAAATACGGCCGTTAAACTAACTAAGGGAATGTTTCTCCAGGGTGACCAGAAACCAAAAAGGCCACCAAAGACCGGCAACGGTCTCAGCTCAAGCTATGCTGAAGCGCCTGCTTACGTTGATTATAATTCCGGGGGCGCTGTTTTTTGCAACGTTGAGTGCGGTACGATTCAAGGGTCGGTTGCAGGGAATTTTTTTCTGGACAAAGTCCTCGATTTAGTTTATTTTTCAGTTGGTCGACAAAACTTTACGATGGAAATACTTCCTCATTAAATTTCACCAAGTACGAAAAAATAATTTTTGCTCATTAAATTTTACAATGTACAAAAAAAAAATAAAATTTAATTTTTGCACCGGAAGATACAAATTTACTGGAATATATTGCATTTTAAGCAATAATGTACTCGGACTTGTCCGCGCAATAATGTACTCCTTTTTGTCCGCGGACTTGGCCGTTTTTAGGCCATTTGACAGCCCTGGTGTGTGGTGTCGCACCCAACGTGATAAGTTGCTTTGGAAGCTATGCAGTAAAATTATTCAGAAAATTAAATGATTTGCTTTGAAGCTGAGAACATGAAGGGCTGAAATATCCACTGGAAGCTTAGTTAGCCTTGGAAGGTAAGCAGCTAAAGACCTCAAAATACACATTGATTTGCTTTTGAAGCTGAGAACATAAAGGGTTAAAATATCGACCGGAAGCTAAGTTAGCCTCGGAAGGTAAAGACATATAGATTTGCTTTTGAAGATGTGCAGGTAAATTTTCTGATTATCCAAGGCTTTTCAGGCAGGTGAGTTGTTAAATTATCAAAATGTACATCAGTTTTTCTCCATCGGCAGCAGAGCAGCCAAACACGGCGAAAAACGGTTGCTAAGCATGTAATTACGCACCATTAAATACAGCATATGTTTTTTCCAAGTAGGATGTTAAGTTCCAATAGTGGAAAGTTGAGTAAAACTTCGGCATCTGCCCTGACATTAATTGTTTCACTGTGTCCTGTAACGAGAAGATTTGAACTAGTGTCATGTAAGATCGAATCAAGACGACGTTTTGTTGAGAAGTACATACATATATGATAAAAAATATAACTCAGTACTCACTGCAGTGAGTGACAGAAAGCGCATTTTCTCGTCGACGAAAACGTGAAGTCACAGATGGACAGACAGACGGACGGACATGACGAGCACAATGGTGCATTTTTTTCATGAATGAGAAAAAGCGCTAAAAACTAGCTAAATTCATGTTAATGATGAAGGTTAGAGAAACTCGTCTCCATCTCTTAGTTTTTTTAATAAAGATGGCTAATAATTTAGAAAAAACACACACATATACGTAATAAATTAAACATTAAAATTTAAAATATTTGGAAAGCTTCCGAGAAGAGAAGGCCTAAGTCAAAACCGCCGCATACGCAGGCAGATTACCGAGCCTATAACCTCTCTCTGGCCCAGCCAATCTCTGGCCTAGCCAATCTCTGGCCTAGCCAATCTCAGGCCTAGCCAATCTCTGGCCTAGCCAATCTCTGGCCTAGCCAATCTCTGGCCTAGCGTTTACCACTTCAAACTTTTGTTGTCATGTGCAGGCTTGAAAACATTGTTGACAAATATTTCATATATACGCTCAAATAACGACAATTTGAGAATTCGAATAAAAAAATTATGATATAATACGGTACGTGGAATGAGTAGATAATATGAAATAAAATGCGAATGCCATTGAAAGTTGGGCGAACTCATTCATACTGACAACGATGTACTGAATATTTCTAATAAATATTCAATTTTGAACAAGTCGGGCAAAAACAAACACAATTTATTTAGTTGAAAATATCTAATGACAATGTAATTTCAGGCGCCAGCCTTAAATAGAAACGATATAAAAAACTTTCTAGCGTGACCGAAACAGCTTCATATTTATGATGTGATAATTAAATCTTATTAATCGTGGTTCTCTGATCAGTTGTGTACGGTTTTTATTGACGAGCGGTGGCAGATGAAGTGCGGTATCTGCAGAGTGGAAACTCATGTGTCACTGGTAGTAGGATGAATCTAATCGACACATTTATGTTTTTCTGACAACTGAAACTTTACTTTCACTTGTTTCAAAATTCATCCGGAAAACGAAAAAATTCGCATTTAATTTATGCGACGAGGTCGAAGCTTAGGCATTTATAGTAGCATGTCCGCCATTACCAATCCAGATTTACATCAACAGGAATTACTTCTTCCAGTGATTTCGACCACCGTAATTAAACAAGGATGTAGATGCTACGTGTACTAATACTGTCGATGATATTTTCATGCAGCTATATACACACGATTTCCACTTCACTCTAAAATGTGCATTATTTCATTACATTTCACTGTCGCCTTCATCGAAACCACTATCAAGTTTCACTATCTGAAAAATTTAGACAGAGAATAAATTTCCAAGTAACTATCATAAATTTTGTCATGCCATAAGTCTTAAAACCTTAGCAGCTCGTTTAAATTTTTATTTTTTCGATATTGGCTCAAATTGAACAGAAAATTATTTATAATCAAAAGATGGCATAATTTTTTTTTGTTTTAGATGAAGTTAAAACCAGAGCCGACGTGAAAGGAAATAATTCTTGCAATAGTTATTGTTTTATATCGGTAGGAAATTTAGGTCTTTTGTTTTTGCTTTGAGTTCAGTAATATCAACATAGTCAGTTCATCGCTAGACTGAGGCCATGAAATATCATGAAATTTATAATATAATTTTTCACTTGGCACCAAAAAATTTGTAAAGTGCATTCGCAGTAGCTTTAAGATTGGAAAACCACAACCACAACAACTTATCGTAACTTGGATGAGACAAATTGTGAAGCTATCGAAGGAGGAACAAGAGATTGATTGCTCGGATTACACATTAACCATTTCAATATTAAAACTCAGTCTTGAATATTTTATATATATTTTTTCTATATTTTTATTAACTAAAGAAATGTACTTGTGATACGCATTTTTAGAAGTACCAATGTTTCCTGAGCGTTGACCATAACGCAGTTTGATCGTCGCAACTCGTATATTTTCATGCACTACCGTTAACAGTCACCGTCGGCACGTAAATCAAATCTACGGAATGATTCGGGATTATAATTATGTACGTGAAAACCATGCATAATGAAGAAATACATTGAGGTATTCAATTGCTGTAACTATTTCATATCAAACCTTGAGTCTCAGAGAAATTTTCTTGACGGACGAATGCCTGGACTATCAGACGGCATTCTTAACTAACTCAATTTCCTAAGGAAAACTCGAAGTACAAATACTTACACTTATCATTTTAATAATAATTAGATTATATTATACAAAGTATGTGTCATTTTATCATACAACCCTAAATAGCACTTTACTTTAATGTCTTTTTCGTGAATCCCGCCCATAAAATTTGACATAAGCGATTTAGCAAAGGTCGTCTCAATGGTTATTATATTAAGCGCCGATTGAGTCTTCAAGATGCAAGCGTCGACGAAACCATTGTGCTTTACTTACGCTATTACGAGTAGAGATATAAATAAAATGCAAAATCGCAAATTCATCTAAAGTAGGTTATAAATAAAAGTTTGTAGGGTGTAGGAGGAGAGGCCTGATAGCGCTCTACGTAGCACCAAAACGAGAGGACAAAGATCTAATGCACCTTCTTTGTTATTCAAAGGAGCATTTGTACACAATTATACTTTCGCATATTATTATGGCGTTCACTAAACCGTTAGACGTTTGGTCACCTTATAGCCAAAATAATAATAGATCGCTGAAGAAACATAAGTAAAGCGAAAACATAAGTAAAGCGAAAACATAAGGAGAATCAACCAACTTCGAAAACAAAACTGCATTTTAATCAAAATATTTTTGGAACAGAAAAGCAGTCGGTGATTTCAAATCATAATCCAGATAGCTCAGTATCGGTTTCACTTTATTCTTCCGTAAAATTGTAAAATCACAAACAAAAATAACTAACAAAATATCGGTGGAATAAGACTGGCATAGAGAAATAGTGCATGCGGCCAATAACACATGCATATACATCTATAAATCCGAAGTAAAATAAACTCCTACAATTTTATGTCCATTTCTTCCTAGAAATATCAGGCCAAAACTAAAGCAACAAATTCCTGAGTGATATAATGGCCAAATAGAACAAATATTGTGAAAATGTACGAAAAAAGAAAGTACCGAGATGGTGTGATAGCTGAGGATCGAAGTAAGAACTTTTGTATTGATGTGACACAACAAAACTAAGCGTAAACTAGGCAATCTTTGGTTAAACATTGAAAAGTTGGGGGAGAAGGCAGTCGCCATTCCCAGACACAAGCACCAAACTAGATTACGAATATTCGAAAGAATAACAATACTTTTGTAACGGGAATGAAAATAAAAAACTAAGATGCAACAGCTCCTCGTATCATTGACGCCTGCTAGTAGATTACTGGCTTCATTGTAAATGATAACGAAGAGTTTATACACGTCATGAATTAACGTATCATTTATTTAGTTCGTAGATATTAGGACCACATCACTTCACACCTAATCATCTGTTAGATAAATGCATGAAGGTCCTTGATACCTATGTTAATTTTTCCACTGCTGCCTTCTTCAGAGGATGTCTATATTTTTAGTTTTACACAAGAGCAGTTTGTACGTATAAGAACCTGCTCATATTAAAAGCAATACAGGAGCTTAGACGTCCCACAAAATTTTCCACACAATTTAAACCACTGAGTAGGATATAAAAGTCCAATAATCTAATGCAGGACACGACAACTCGTTAGAAAGTGGAAGCTTTAGTTCAGGTTATTTAAAAATTAAACGACATCAAGTTTGCCTTGGGTTGCGCGATTCTTGCACTGCTAAACCCAGAGCATAAATCGTGAATAATCGCTTTTAAAACAATATTGCAATAAATGGTTTTCAGTTATAGCGTAAAGCAAACTTCACAACCCCAAGATAATTTTCTTAGTAGCTGAGATGAGAAAATCGGCAGCAAACGAGAATTGAATCGTTGATACTCGTGCATGTAAATTGAAAATGAATATAAACAATTTTAAGCTCCAGGTTGATTTGTAGACGATGGTCAAATCAAGGCAGTAATGACGAAGATAATAAGGACACGTGCAATAAAATAAGCCCGAGTTTCATCCGAAACCTGGAAACACTTGTTCAAGTACATTCCAAGTCTACACGTTGTACATCGGTGACAAGAACAATGAACTATTGCAAGTGTGCCTGCACCATCACGCTAGAAAGTATTGTGAGAGGTGAAGACTCATCACCATCACGCTAGGAAGATAGTATGGTGAGAGGTGAACACTCATCACCATCACACTAGAAAGAAAGTATTGTGAAAGGTGAACACTCATCACCATCACGCTAGGAAGAGAGCATGGTGAGAGGTAAATACTTTGCACCGAACAAGAAAGACAGCTCAGGGTACATGGATAACACATGCATAAATATCACCTCATATTTAGTGTGGATACGCACAATTTGTGATAAAAAATTGAGTAATTCTAAGCTACGTGGAGCACGATCAACGTCCAAGGTTCATTTGAAACACTAAC